ACTTATTGATTTTTACAATTTGTAATAATTATCACACTTTATCGAAAAACGGTAATACACGAGACACAATACACATCTATAACCATGTTAGTCGTGTACAAATTGCATTAAAGTGTACGTGCAAAATATCATTAATTAATTCAAATCACGATGGTGAAGTTTTTTTGAATGAATATTTTTAACATTAAAATTTACATTATAATAAATATAAATAACTTATTTATTTTATTTACTGATTTATCTATATTTTTTTATTGACGTTCATTTGTCCTAGATCGACTAGGTGTATACCACAAGGCACAGTGGCGGAATGAAATACAAACAACGAACCCGTATGTGCGTTATTTAGTCAAACAAATGCGTTTTCTACTGTTTTTTTTTTTTAAATTTTGTCATTACAATTAGTTTTGACAATATTTTTTTACTGTATATATAAACGAATATTACATTAAGCTATTTAAACCAATTCGGTTGATACCAACCGCTGACCTGTATCAATAACTTATTACTCGAGGTACTTGAAGACAGTGGCGTAGCCAAGATTTTTAAATGGGAGGGGCTAATCACTTTTTTGGATAAGTAAGGTAAGAGAGGATATGAGAATTCAAACTTAACCCCCCACCACCACCATCTACCACCAAGTTTTTAAATGTAATTCAAGCATTTTAGTTTTAAAAATATTTATTGATATATAATTTATAATAATAATATTAATTTTGGTTTCAGTGTTCAGTCACTTACTCCACTCTAACAGCTGCATCCTCTTAGGTGAATTTCTGGCAAATTCAGTTATTATTTCACTTTCATCGAATTGCTCTTTTTTATTTATATTAGCCATAGCTAACCCATTCAGTCTGTTTTCCGATATGGTGCTTCTCAAAAAAATTTTAAGCGATTAAGTGCAGAAAACGTTCTTTCCGGAGTGGAAAAGGTAACTGGTAACGTGGTGAATAATTAAAAGTATTTTAATGTTAGGTTGAAGATTGGTGTAATGATAGAGTGAATCAAGAGCAGAATTCGGTTTTGGAATAGTATTTTGACTCCATTATTGCCTCCATATGAACAGGTCAGCTCTGATTGTAGATGAGGTATCAACATGGAGATCTTAGACATATATTTTAACAGCTTTTTAATATTTTCATCATCATACATATTTAAATTGGCCGGAATAAGTCCTTCAAGTGGCATAACATCAATAAGCCTTAGATTAAAACGAGCATCCATTGATTTTATTAAATAGTATATATATATACACTATAGATATAAACACGACCCGTGGGGGGGCTATAGCCCCTTGGCTATGCCACTGCTTGAAGACGAGTTGTCAAAACGATAACCACAAAGTATGCTGTTATATTATTGCCTTACAACATCGAACTAGGAACGTTTTGACTATGCCGTCGAACGTTTTACGTGTGTGGACGGTCGAAAAGACGACCCGCGCACGAATCGTCGATACGAAATCAATAATTATAAACATATGTCGAAAACCGGTGCCAACGCGTGCGCTTACGAACGCTGTGAAATTTTCCCCAACAACTATCTTACACGTATGGGAAGCCAATTTCCCACGGCCGTCCGCTATACAAAGGTTCTTCTTTCTAACAGTGGACACGTCACTGAAATAACGTCCACGGTCGTCCGGTTTCATTATGTTCACAAATACGTGTATATTATGGACGCGTACCGATGTCGTATTACATTCGTTTATCTCTACATAGTGGGCGTCCGCGGCCGATTCCGAATGTATTCGGTTGAACGGGGACCCCCGGGTGACTCTGTCTCTCTCGCTGCGGTGGTGAATAAATAAAAGACAAGTGAAAACGCAAACGGAAAAGGGAGTCGTCGTAGCCGTACGAATGCGTGCACAGTAATGTTTGTCGGGCTACGGGGGTGGCTCACGTGGAGCGGATGGGGGTTCGAGGGGGTGCGCGCGCGCGCTTTGCCATTCCGCCGGTTACGAATCGACCGCCGGGGCCGTCGCCCGCCGCGACAACGACAACAATAATTCGTACTCACGCCGGGTACATTTCCATTCCGTTTCGTTTTCGTATTTATTTTCTCGGCCGCGCGCGCAACTCGCCGGCGATTGGTCGAACCACGTCACCTCCGCTGAAAACGTATTATTTATATATGTGTATATGTGTGTGTGTGTGTGTGTGTGTGTGTGTGTGTGTGTGTGTGTGTATGAAATAAATGTATTTCCACGACTGCGTTTCCCTTTTTCCTTTTTTCCAACCTTCTTCCGCACCCCCGGAGCTTTTCCCGATAAATGCGAACTGCGAATCCGTTTCCGGACGCGCCCTTTATTCGTACCCTTGCAGCAGCCGCCATCCACCGGGTCCTCGTCGCACACGAACAGAACACCGTTAACGCATTGCATACCACCATGGTACGCGACCGTGGTAAATCCGTCTACAACCCTTGGGTAATGTTTACCCCGGCCCGGTAAATGTATAGCCGGTGGCCGGTCGATGCTAGAGCAATTTTCACCTCCCGGTAGATTTGGCGGACGACGAAAAAATATCCTAGTTTCCTTTTATATCCGGTGTGAAAAATCATTCTAGATCGAATGATTACTAGCTATTTTGTACTAGCTAATTATAACTCGTATAGTTTTTACTTTTATATAATTATCTTCCCTTCGGACGCCATATCGTAAGAAGATGGACACCCTATACACTTATACCATACACATATACAGTGGTTGACGGCCACGCAAATTTTCCGCTCGGCTCATAACTGCCTAAACAACATGAACCAATCAATCAAATGTTTTCGAACACATACTCGTATGTACGTATAAGTAAATACGCAGAGATATATTTATGTTATTTATATTAACACGCACATAGTCTCATTAGAAAACACTTGGAAATTCAAAAGGACAAACCAATTTAAGAAAAATTAAATAAAATACTTTATCAGCACGTCCTATTTCGTAAGTACAATAATTATGATTATTGTAAATTCCCCACTCACCGTTATGCGGAGACGTCCACAGTATTGTCTCCTTGACGCACAATAAAAGTTTTGAATACACCTAAATTATTAAAGTGCATTGAATTTTATACTGTACTCAGTACGTGTTGTTAAATGCGTAAATTACTGAAAAAAAAATTAATGATGCTTTAATGCTTAGGCATATAACTGTATAATTATTACGATAATGAACCAATTTTTCTTATAGTGAACTCCATGTAGATCCTTAAGACGTCTATTTTAATTAAAATTATGTAAATTATTTAATTATTTAAACGACTACGTTTAATACCATTATCTACCGTAAAATATAAGTATTTCGAACACTGGAGTATATTAGATATATAGTACATTTACACGACTCGAAAAATGATAAGATTAAGTATACGTAAAATATATATTTAATATTATTTGCATACCCTTCATTTAATTAAAAAATGCACTATCAATTCTTCCCACAAAACATTATTTATTTTTTAATTTATACCTAAAAAACAAATTAAATAAACACACGCAGTGAACTCATCTACGCTAATACACCATATTTTATTAAAGCAATATATAAACACAAGATTTACCAAGTATTAGTAGTTGTATTGACTTATAAAATATATCCGAATGACTAAAGATTGTCAGTTTTGATTGACCGTATATGATAGTTATCAGTAATCAGTCAATGATAAGACTTAACTTTAATCACGTCGAATGCCATTCAAGATGACCGCGTATGGGGTGGGGGGGCTTTAAATATAAAATATAAAATTATTTATTTGATCATTCGCCAAAAATTAAAAATAATAATAAAATAATATCAAATGATTAATATGCTTGTTAACCTATATAAATACAAATTATTTTAAATATATAATTAAAAATAGTCTTTTCGACACACTTAGAGTTAATGGATATAAAGGTAGGATGAGGAAATAGTGATTAAATTTATTACCTAATACTCGAATTACTACAATGAGCCATAACTACGAAACCAATTATTGCAAATTTACCTTTGCAATACTTGAAAATGTTCATAATAATTTTCATTTCGTAAAATGGCTATATACCTACTTCAGTAATATAGAAATGAATAACCCAAAAGTTATTTTTCTAGGCCAGTTAAAAGATGAAATAACGGACTTGATATTACATTTTTCATATTGCTTCCCTACTACCTACATGAAGTTACACTTAAACAAAAAATATCGGAAATTATTAAGAATATGCTGAACTTTTTCTTTCTTTCTCTCTCTTTTTCATTCTCTCCTTAAATAATTATCAATTACACATTTATTATAAATATTCGATCTTTATGGTTGCAAAGCGTACTCAACATTTACCTTGCACTACCTCATACGGCTGTCATTAGATACCTACCCATGTTATAAGGCAAATGATTTTATGGGTTATATTGTTACAGTCTAGCAAAGATTCGGATACTCATAAAGGTTCTGCCTTAAAATTTAACTTGTCGCATAATGTCTATCCCGTCCTGTATATATTATAAAATGCATTCTACATAAATTATAACTTTTACAACAACATTAAAATTGAATTAATTATTAAAAAAACTCATGTTTTTAATATCTAAACAAAACTAAATTAAATTAAAAATATTATATACAAATTAACATATAGAATAAATATAGTAAGCGTAATATTGTTTGTGTTGGTTGATAAGTTTTCAAGTTATACAGGAAAATATTTAGTTATGCACATTTTAAATTTCAACAGTTAATAATTATACACTAATACATTTAGACTAATCAGAGTTCTACGTAGTGAACCAGAATATAGTATTATATTATTATACGTATATATGTGTGTGTGTGTGTAATTTACTATAATAGTTAATAAATAATTAAGAATACTTATTCAAAAACATAGTAATCACTTTTAAATTGGTAATTATTTTGGTTTTGCAGAAAACGGCAAAAATAACAATAAAAACGATTAACCTTGATATGTCTCACGTTATATGTAAAATGTACTCATAGTACATTCTGCCACAGTCATCCGTCAGTTGTATTTTGTATTTTCTACGATCATTTTCAAATCTCATATTATAGACAGTTTACACTCGTCGACCTAATAAGTGTTTTAGTTTTCAAACGCTGCCATTTTATCGTGACTTCAATTTTAATTTTCAGTAAGTAAATAAAAATATATTTATTTGACAAACAATCCAAAAATCTTTACCTCTATTTTATGTTTTTTCAATATAATATATTTATACAATTGTAGTCATAAATTGTGACAAAAAAATAATAGTAATATCGATAATAAAAAATAAAACAATTCGACGAGAAGTATGTTATTAGTACCAGGGTTCGAGAAAATAAATGTAAACAATGTATACAACAGTTTCTAAACTTTTCGTAGGCTCGAAATGTATAATTGAAAAAATTGAAATTTTTGTTATGAAGTGTATAAAAAGACAGGTATAGGTGAAAATTTTTCATGACTAAAGGATATAAAAATAAAAAAAAATTTAACACTAGTTTAATATTATTTTTTCTACAGGTATTAATAAATAAGTTGATTGTCGAATAAAGTAAATATAAATATTAATATAATTTTAAGATTTAAAGGATTTATGATATCCTCCAATTATAGTAATCATGTAATTATAATGATAAATGTGTATACTTGTATATATATTTAATTGATAATTTAATGTTATTTAAATGCAAATTGTATACAAATCTTACAAAATTTCCGAATTTGCATAGACAATTATTCAATTATTAATTAAAATGACCTAGGAAACGAATCCGTTTTAATAGAATTAAGTTTAAAATATTTATAATAAAATTAGTTTATGGAATCGTGACGGACGTAATTGAATAATTGAGATAGTAAACTAATAGTTTGTTACAATTTCTACGACCAACTATCAACAAATAGTACAAACCTTAACAACTAACGACTATCGAAAACCGACTAACGATTAACAAAAAAAAGAATAACGTCTAAATAACTAATAAATAAACTGGTCGACTTATGCTATGAAGCTTATGACTATAAAGCTATGACCAAAAGTTAAAGTATATTTATATCAACAATACAAATCTATTTGTTTAATAGTCAATTTATTTAGTTCTATTCGTATAAAGTGCTATTCAATTTTCCAAAAAAATATCGTAAATTCGTTTAGTAAGTACTTTTTATAGGAATAGAATAATTTCTATTTTAACAAAATCAAAATACAAATAAGTAGGCATATTATTTACATAAAATAAATTTAAATTCAAACTTCGAAGTTTAAATAAATAAAAAAATTAAAATAAATAAATTATTAAAATTGTTTTAAATGTAATTTAAAAATATTAAAATATCTAAATGTTTTCCCTTTAAGTGATTTCTTTTGGCATTTAATATTTACCCTGACTTTGAGAACACTTCCGCAAGGAACGAAAGTGACTAGAATAATAGAATATTTCATTGTACTATAATGATTTAAATTAATGGATCTTATAATAATCTGTGTTTAAATAATTTAAAACGTTGATAAAAAAATCACAAAATTCACCTTTAGAGGAAATGGAACTTAGTATTAAATTTTCAATATATATTATATACCCAAAATAGTAAAAAATGAATTCTATATATTTTGTACTAGTTAATGTTATAACAAATAAATAATTAATATCGTAAAATCGAAATTCGTTGAAATACTCAATTTCGTCAACATTTTATTTCCATACACTTACAAAACATTTTTGTGAGTTTTCGGAAAAAAAATTTTTTATTGGCAACAAACAAAATTCCTTGAAAAATTGCATGTCCAATTTTCAAGTCATAAGTATTAAAAATGAAAAATTTATACATTTTTATCCACTAAAATATTGCGAATTGTCGTGACTTATATCAAGTTTTGTCACAATAAATATTCAAACGTTCATACAATAGAATAGTTTTGATATTACTCTCAATATTTGTTTCACAGTTCTATCAACATTTTATGAAAAATCGCTTTAAAAAATTTGAAATATTCTTAAAATCATACGAGTTACAGTAAACGGTGATAAAAGCATCAAGATAAAATTTCTATGAGTAAATACCACTACTGGTAATTTATATGATTGATTGATACGATTTGATGCCAAAAAAAACCCGTATATATTTACGGATATTAAAAATTTTTCAACATCTATTGCGCGAGAAATAAAATAGTAGTAAAGTAACGCTGTCTACACAACATTGCATCACGTCTCAATGGACTGATAATTGTTATTTCAGAACCGAACGATTTTGTAATGGCACCGAGGACTAGCAGTTGGCCTGCGTGGACCAATATATCTAGTACGGACAGCTGTATCAAATCGGCGGACGATTGGATCGAAGCGCACCGAAAGGAGGATGGTGCGGACGGGCTGTGGAGAATTCACGACGGGCTGTACGACTTACGACGGTGGATAAACTTGCACCCTGGCGGACCGCAGTGGTTAGAAATGACAAGAGTAAGTCAAAAGCAAAAACTTATACTACATTCGATTATCGAGTAGTGCAATTAAACTGTTGGATCAAAGGGATAGGTGTGTAGGCAGTGATGAAATTTGTATAGATAAGTCGTGAGCATATAGCCAAATATAAACAAACAATCGAAGAATTTAATTTTTATGCGATATTACCATTCGCCTAGACATTTAATTACATGCCTTGTGATTTAATTAAATGTCTAGACGTATAGTTAAACACCTATTTCGAGTCAGGCAAAAATAGAATAAGAAACGTTTTTGTATTATTTTCAAAATCTAATCATATTATTTTATTAATTATTTATGACTATTCTACTTGAATAATAATGTTTAGTTTATTAATATATATAATACGTGGATTGTGAAATATTTTTAATAACTTGTCCTTCGGTACTGTTATTATAAAACTTTAATTATACATAAATATTAGCAATTACTATAAGGTACGATTGTACGAGTATAAAAATGAATATAAATTGTACAGTAGAAGCCGCTTATTAGGAACACTTTTCGATCAAGGTGAAATAACTAATCCGATTGTTTCTAATAATCGATCGGTTTTATTTATTATGAAAAGAATGTACAATTTAAAATTATGTAAATAATTTATATTTATATTTATACTTTAAATGTAATAGAAATATTATTACTATGGAAAAAAAAAAGTTTATGCTATGTGTTGGGGACAAATGTCGTGCGAGGATCGCGGCATATTGGCCTCCTGCAAACTTGGTCGATAACATGATCGATTTCTTGAGAGGGGGTAGTTAGCTGTGCTGTTTTCCGATGGCTAGCCTGCTACCCGCTCCCAGGACCGGTCTGTCGTCGGTCGTCTGCACGTTCATCATCACCGTCGTGTGCTTGTGTTCCTGTGTTTTACGTAGCCGTCTTGGCAAAATAGCATATCCACCATTTTTTTGTACCGGTGCGTCGCCACCGTTAACACTGACAATCGCCGACGTCATGTACACTGTACGCCACTCCATCGTTAGTGTTTTTTTTGTTATATATTTCGCCATCCATAGCACTCCGCACCACGTGGTTTTGACCGTCGTCGTCACATCCACTCCGTTCTTATCATCGAGAGAATTCAGGAAACCTCTTGCGTATCGGGCTCTCGTTGCCATTGTGAAGTTTCCGATCGCCATTGTCGCACAGTTGTTTTGTTTTTATTATCGTTCCGTGAGTGTTTTTTTTTATTGTTTTGCCGACGTCGTGTGCGCCATTAATCTCGTCATCCGAACGGTTGGGAATTCCCGTATTTCGGTTTGTGTTCTTGTGACGTCATCGCCAGGTGCCGAATCAACATTTTTCATTCGCATGTGACAGCGGCGCTCTCTACATACGCGGCAAGGAACCTTCCGACTGTTGCGACAGGTTGGCCATCGACCATATCGTCACCCAACTTCAATTTTGCGTTGGTATTACCAGGTCGTACATCGTTATCAATTTGTTATTTATTATTGTTATTCTTTTATTATTATTAATTATTATTATTTCTGGCGACCATATGTGGTCGACTCACTTAGTCTATAAGTTCATAAAATATATTGTCTTCTGTCTTACAATCATTTAATATAATTTGCAATTGTTATATTTATTATTTAATACTTTAGTTGGTTGCCCCACCTTCCTTCCACATCACTTCCAAACCTAACCATACAGTCCACTCTTTCTCTCATTTTCTCAGGTTTCTTTCCATACGACGATTTAATTATTTTACGATCGGATTCTTTGTTGGACGCAGTTCCGTGCGTATAAGCGATAGCCCATTCGATCGTCGGTTCTGGTGTACAACCGTTAACTGCCGTACACTATGTAAAAAGTGTGGTTTTACCGTCTGTTATTTTGTGTCGCGTAACTCTATAACTCTATAAATCGCTCTCCAAACACTAGAGGCAGAGCATTACAGTGCTGTATAAACAACTATAATTTTTCTTCCTTAGCTCCTCCTGGTCCTACTTATTGGCCCTCTCACAATAACAGATTACCTGATATCTTAGATATCTTTGTCAAAAAACTACCAAGTAATATACACTGTGACATTACCAACCTTTATGACTTGTCCTCCGATCACACCCCAATAATTCTCAAACTAGGTTTAAATGTTTCTCCATGCAAAAAGGAAACTCTCACCCCCAGCCAAACAAATTGGTCTATCTTCAAAAACATTTTAAATGACGATATAAAACTTAACGTTTCCCTAAAATCAATCGACGAAATCAACAACTCTGTTAACTACCTCACAACCGCGATACAAAAGGCCGCACTAGCAGCTATAATACCCCAAACAAACAAAAACACAAAAAACCAAACTCCTCCTCATATACAAGCTCTAATTACCGAGAAACGTAGAACAAGGGCACGCTGGCAAAACTTCAGGTATCCCAATGACAAGACTAAACTAAACAAACTAAATATCCAAATAAAAAAGGAAATCCAAAATTACAAAAATCAATCATACAACACTTACGTTGAATCTTTAACCACTAAAAATATGTCCCTGTGGAAAGCAACAAAAAATATTCTACGAATAAACCAACCCACCCCTCCTCTTAAAAAAGAAGACAATTCACGGGCCATTACCGACACCGATAAATCTAATATCCTAGCTCAGCACCTAAAGAACTCCTTCTGCCCTCATGATATTCAACCCAGTCCAACTCAACTGAAAATAGTTGAAAACTACCTCGAATCTCCTCTCCCAATGTCACTGCCCGCTAAAGCCACATCCCCCGAAGAAATAAACAATATAATAAAAAATATTCCTACCAAAAAATCCCCAGGTCACGGTCTAACCACCAACTTTATAGTAAAAAATCTACCACGCAAAGTCATAATTTATTTATCCCATTTATTTAATGCACTGTTTAGACTATCATACTTTCCTAAGACTTGGAAACACTCTATCATAATTCTTATACTCAAACCAAACAAACCACCCGAAAATCCAGAATCATACAGACCAATAAGCCTTCTTCCCACCTTATCAAAAATTTTTGAAAAAATTTTATTAAAAAGGCTCCTCTCCATTGCCACCAATGCTAATATCATTCCGCACACACAATTCGGCTTCAGAGCCCACCACTCCACCACTCACCAACTTCACCGCACTGTCGATCATATATCCAACGCTCTGGAAAAAAAAGAATTCTGTCCCACCGTTTTTCTCGACGTCTCCCAGGCCTTTGACCGGGTCTGGCACGACGGACTTCTCTTTAAATTAAAAAGTTCCTTCCAGCCCCCTATTTTCTACTCTTAAAATCCTATCTATCAGACCGCTTCTTCACCGTTCGTCTCAAAAACAGCTACTCAATATGTCACCCTATAAAAGCAGGTGTCCCACAAGGAAGCGACATCGCCCCTTTCCTATACTCTGTGTACACCCATGATATCCCAAAGACTCCTTACACATTCATTGGCACATACGCTGACGATACCCTAATATCGGCGGCACATCGTGATCTAGAAATTGCTAGCTTAAGGATTCAAAACCACCTTAACATGATCAACTTATGGGCAAATCGTTGGAAAATAAAAATTAACGAAACCAAATCAATTCACGTAACATTTACTTTACGTAAGTCTGACTGCCATCCAGTTACGCTCAACAACAAAATCCTTCCAACAGCAAATTAAGTTAAATACTTAGGGCTCACATTTGATAAGCGTCTTACGTGGAGCCCACACCTAAAATCAAAGCGTAAACAAGTTAACTCCAGACTGCACCTCCTTAGACCCCTTTTAAAATCTAAATTATCCCTAACCAACAAATTGACAATTTATAAAGCGATAATCCGTCCGGTCTGGCTCTATGGTATTCAGCTATGGGGGTCGTCAAAACCTTCCAACACCAGAACCTTACAAGCTTTTCAATCAATATGCTTACGTCTAATAACCTCCTCCCCCTGGTACATAACAAATAAAAATCTCCACAAGGATTTAAAACTACCTACTCTTAACGATTTGGCCAAATCTCATTATAACAAATTCCATTCTAAACTAAACATTCATTATAATCCTTTAATCCGAAAACTAGTCTCTGCTACTCACGCTCCCAGAAGACTAAAAAGGCTGTGGCCCCGAGACATGCTCAAAGCATAAATAAAAAAAAAATAAAATAAAAAATAAAAAAAAAAAAAACAATTAAAATACCAAATAATTAACTTAAAGTAATATCTTGTCAGGTGGCACTACTGAGGGTCTTCCTATTCCAATATTTGTAACGTTAAAAAAAAAATTTGTTATCACACTTACTGATTATTGTAAAAATAGATTGTAAATATATTCTTTTTAAAAAAAAAAAAAAAACTCTATAACCATGGTTTCGACCGATTCGTAAGAACAACGTTGCCAAAGCTTTTTCGTCCGCCCGATGTTGCTCTCCTAACGGACACTCATGCGTCGTGTATTTTTTTTTAGAAATTTAAAATTTTTTAGTACAGTTTATGCTCCGCGTTAAACAAACATGATTGTCAACCGACCAACTCAGACGGTTTTTTAAAGGCGAAAACATCGTGTCTCTGGGCACCGATTCGTATCAGGCTTTCTTAGTCATTTTTAGATAACTCGATAGATCGATGCGGTACAGCAACCGGATATATCGGTTAACAGAAAACACATCGATACACGAAATCAGTGCATTGAAAACTTTTGCGCTGACCAGTGGCGTATTCAGGAATTTTTTATGAGGGGGGGTTCAACAAATTTAAATTTACTATTTGTATAAATATGGCAAATGTTGAAACAATGAAATTAATCAATTTATTTTGTTTAAACAATTGCAAAATATTAAATATTATTAATAAAATATATAATATGTATTATATTCGAATTTCCAGGGTTAAATTAGTTATCACCTAATTACAATACTATATCAATTTTTCTTTTTCTTTTTACCAATTCATCCAACACTTCTTCTGGATTAACTTCAATTGTCCTGTTAATATTTAGCCGTTACAAATTATTATTATTTATTAACACCCATTCGGGCAAAGAGTATACATAAATTGTACTATATAAGTTCATTTACTATCTCAAGTTCATTGGGGGGGGTCTGAGCCCTAACCCCCCCCCCCATGGATACGCACCAGGCACCGACACAACCTAACCGGACGGACGTATTGGTAAGTCGTCCGCCAGTCGTCGAGATTACACACGCGCCTTTAGCGGTTCTGCGACAATAGCTTTTGTCCGAGACATTTTTTGATATTAATGTTAAGCGGTTTACGTTTCGCAGGGCACCGACGTCACGGAACTGTTCGAAACGTACCACGTGAATGCCGAGGCGGCCGCGCGACCACTGCGCAACTACTACGTGCGCCGGGCCACGTCGCCGCGGACGTCGCCGTTCACGTTCGAACCGGACGGGTTCTATAACGTCCTGAGGTCCCGGGTCGCCACGGAGTTGCGGTCCACCGGCAACGGCAGAGCGAAATCCGCTCTGGTCGTCGACACGTGCTTCCTGGTCGCGCTAGTCCTGTGCGTGGCGGTCGCACGCACACAGCACTATACGTCGGCCCTGGCGGCCGGCGTCACGCTAGCGCTGGGCACCGTGGCCAGTCACAATTTCACGCACCTGGCCGACAACTGGAGGATGTACTACATGGAACTGAGCTTCCTGTCCGTGCGGTACGTACCACTGATGCACCTGCTTGCTTGCGCACACGTTGTTCTTCTGCCGATGTGGCCGAGCTTTGTTCAACGCGTACGTTTTCGGTGTTGCGCTGTAACGGAGCGTGTTCGAGTATCACGTCAGCAGACCAGGGGATAGAGATATCCGATGGTACCTTACATGGGAACAGGGCGAGGGTTAGATCTCGAATCCGACGTCAGCATCGGAACTATCAGAGTTAACGCGCGAAAAAAAGCGATAGACGATGGACCACCGACAGTGTCGAAAACACGTGCCATATATACTTATGGTTCTGGTTCTGGAACTGGTCAATACCGGTTAATTTCTTTCAAAAATCTTAAAAAAATCTATTATAAACATCATACATATTATCTAAAATTATATAATGATAACAATCTTATTAGATTAAAAGAGCTTAACTAATAAGTTTAATATTTTGTTTTAAAAACATCCAAAACAAATTTTAAAAAATAGGGTTGACTCGTGTTGTTACTAACATATTATGACAAAATCAAATTAATGTTCTTACTATTAATTATGAGTAGGGAACGGATTTATATGTAATAAAAATACAGAAATATTTACATATCTATGTAAGTATAATTTATAAAATATGTGCTAAAAACATCCAAATATGTAGGAAAAAATTGAATTAAAAAAAAAAAAAATTATAATAATTAAATTGTCAAAATGATTTGTTGCATTGAATTATTACAATATCTTTTAAATTATCAAATATTAAATGTCGCTTATTGGATCTGAAAATATTTTTAAAACGGCTAAATGATCGTTCCACATCAACCTACATGGGTTGATTAAAGCATATTTGAAGCGCATAATATCAGAAGGTGATAATTCCAAATTTTTAGAAGGTTATTTGCCACTCATTATGTCATTGATTGATTGAAAATCAATATAACTTGGAATTTTTTTCTGTAACAACATGAGTTTTCTTTTTTACAACATTTCCTATTGGTCCGTTTACAAGTTTTCATTTTGTTATCCTTGATTCGACAATTTACATATTTTCATTTAAGGACATATTTTTATTTCTAATTTTGTAAAAGTATGTGCAATAAAACTAAAATTCACCGAGATGAAAATTAAATTAGTTTTTATGTTTCATTTTGCATAATATTTTGAGCTTTTCTAATAGCGATAGAAGTTACTGGATCCAAATTTGAAATAATTTCTTATACTTTTGTACGAAGAAGACGTATGAATGATGAAATTATGAAATATGTAAAAATATGTAATTATATCAAAATATGTAAAAATATGTAAAATAAAAGTAGCATTATATTAATAGAAATGATTTAAATCATGAACATTTCTTATCGAATCTTAAATATCTCTTTTTAATAAAAATATGTATTTACATATAAATCCTTTCCCTAATTATGAGTACATGTAATAATAATAAATTATTACTAGACACTATACATATAATAAGACATTATAGGAGCATCGTCTGATATTTTTTGGAACGCGATGGCACGACGAAATGGTAATTGTATTTGATATGAGTGGTAGCGGTAAGAAGGGACCACTCACGCACTTGCAGGCACATGGACAATTTTGTGAAAAAAAAATGTTTATTTTTCCCTCGGACAACTCTAAGTCCAACAATGCATTACTACGATTGCATCGATTCGCATTCTGACAAATAAATCTAATATCTCACAAAATATGCGAGGGATCAATCTAAGCAAATTTTCATAATTGTATTAGTTGACTAATATTATAATAATATACAGTATAAACTATACTAAATCTCTTAATTATCGCATTGTTTGATTGGATGTTTTGGTATGATATGATATTTTTTAACGATGGGCGGCATGAACTCCCGAAAAACAACTATCGAATGATTTAATAGTATCAGGGGCGTCATTTAGGGGGACAGACTATGGCAAATGCCCCACTCTAAAAATTTTTAAAAAATCGGCAATTCTTTGTCGGATGATCAAATATTAAAATCGGTAAATAGTAAATTTTTATTTACTTTTTTGTACTCAGAAATCAGATAATACATAATAAATCAGATAAACCTTTTAAATACATGTTTATTAAAATACGGTTTATTTAAAGTTAGGAAACACTGGCTCCTCCCCAGTTTATGATAATCATTATTACGCGAACCTTATAAACTTTATTTTTGGTATATTATATATTTCTATATCTGTGATCATTATAAAACAGTTTCCGTAATATCGATACCATAAAAATTTAGCTCATACAGGCGCGTATCGGCTCACCGGGATACCAGGAAAATTCCGGTAGGCCCTCTCAAAAATTATAAGACCTAGGCCCCTTACCAAATAGGTACCTGTAGTTTCAGTTAAATTCAGTAATTTTATTATGAACAGGGATGGCGCGAGGGAGTGGGCAATAGGGGCAGTTGCCCAGGGCACCACGCCTTAAATTATAATTAAGACCCCGCAGTTCTGATTTAACTGAACTTAAAATATTTTATTAATATAAATTATAAGACCCAACATTAATTTTGCCCAGGGCCTCGCAAACTCTAGCACGGTCACTGATCGTGAACAATTGGTTTTTAAGAAGAGAAGTTTAATGTATAATTTATATTTCACTAATGAATATTACATATATCTTAATAAATGAACGGAGAACGAATAGCCAATATATACAAAACAATTTTATCTCACCTACCTTTTTACTAAATATTGAATATCAGGAGCTTCGACAAAGAATTTTTTATATCGGTTGAAGTCAAAACTTTGGAATTTTTACTTTTAATCCGCTCTTTAAAAGAACTTGTTATTTTAAATAAGTACCAACGTTAATATTATGTTTCATATTTTTTAAGCATTGAATAAATAGACCATAAAGTTGACGGTTTAATTTCTGTAGATAATTTGTTAAAATTTGTAATAAACACATTTTCCGACGATTTGGTTTTATTTATTTTTCTCAATTTTAAAAGTTTTTCATAAACCATTATACATCATTCTTTTGATTTTTCAGGCAATAGATTTAGTGAAACAGCATTTGCCGTTTTAACTAAATATGGTGAAGTTAATGGCTCACTACAACTAATGTACTGATGTACTATTGTCATCTTTCGTATTTATGCTTGTTTGCGCGTTTCGCAGTCAAACCATCACTGGTTCGATTGTGTGACTGATTGATTGATTCGATTGTACTCACATCGTTTGCAATAAAAAAGAATACTTAATAGAAGATAATTAATGAAATTATAACAAATTGCGGTATAAACGGGCCAAAAGCGCCACAATAATAATAAATATGATAAATCTAAAAATAACAATAAAATCATATATGCTCCAAACGCGTTGTAAAAATATAACAAGACAAATCGTATAAAAATAAATATAATATTTTTAACAAATATAACGGAACATACCTTGGACGGTCTGGCGTTCGAATGGTTATGCCCACGCGACCGTGTTCACACGTGCGACGAACGCCACAACCGGCAGAAGAATCGGTTGATCAGCGGCGTCGGTCTCGATTTACAATAACTGGCTTTTCCGCGCACGACGATAACCGAAAGAAAATTTCACGGACACGGGTCAGTTACGGTTCGAACAGTCATCACACACACGAAATTGTCCCCGGAGATAGCGACTCCACCGTGCTATGCCGCAACGGGAAAATCGACGAATCGAACGTTCGCAGAAAAAGTTTCGGCGGAAAAAAGTCCCAGGGTAATGGCGTCCACGGACCGGTGATAATCGTATCGCGATAACGCGCCAAACGAAAATTCTCGAACATCACACGCCGACACCGTTATCGGATGCTCCGGTTAACACGAAATGGGATAATTTGAACGGCGACGTGAAACTTGCGCGAACGATCTCATTTTTTAATTCGAATTATTATACAAATCACGCAAAACAAATTTATCCGTGACGTCCAACGAACTTGTGTGGGAACATTGAAAACGAAATACATATGTTTAAATGTTTATGCGTCGTGCAAAGAGGTTGTGATATGTGTATGATATTTAACCGAAAGTTTATGTTTTGTACGGACCGGGGTATAAATTTAAGTTTCTGATTGTGCTGGGCCAGCGCTCTTGGAAATTTCTACTTTACTACACAGTGTTATAGGGATTTCCACTTTTTCTCCCCTCACACCTTAGGATTTCCACTTTACCGCCCGCCATTATGGGATTCCCATCTTACCGCCCGGTGGACAGATAAATGTGACATTCCAACGCTTCAACCGTGGTCGAAATAACAATTATGCACCGTTACCATAATAACACACCTCCACGAAAACAAATTGATCTTGTATCATCGTTATTGATATAACTAACTTATTTTGAGTATTATGATTTTTATTAAATTTATTAAGTTTATTATAAGTGTTTTTTCATATGCAAAAATTTACATTTCAATGGTCGTCAACATTTAATACACAGGATTTTAATTGATTTTTATTTAAAACATAATATAATTAGTGTTTGAAAATTTCATGATGTATAAGATTGTGAAATAGATAGGTATGTGAAATAATTTCAGTATTTTAAAAAAAAATTGTTTTTCTTTTAAATATGTTTAATTTTTATGTATATTTCAAATTTTTTAGGTAGAACAAAATTAATAAGACCCATTAGTCATTAAATTAATTTTATTTTGTTTTTAATTTTTAAAGTTTATTATTAGTTAAATTTTGTTTGTCAAAAATGTTGCATGTTAAGATTTAAATACAGTAAGATTTAACACTATGAAATTGTAGTATGTTAAGTTTCAAAAACAATAAAGCTTGATAAATAATTAATGTAAATAATAGGTACTTACTATATATACCTACCATATAGGTAATAGGTACCTACTCTATTTTTCCATAAATAATTATTACATTAAATATCTGGATATCTAATCACCATATATGACCATGATTGCTATGTATAAAGTGACGTTAAAAAGGTTTTAAATTCACGGATAAATAATAATTTTGTACCTATATTTTACTACCTATTAGATAACAAAAAACTACAACTAGCAATAATAAAGTGAGTATCCATGGATTTAAAACCGTTTTTAAGTTACTTTGCGATAAAATTATAAAATATAACTAAAATGTATACCATATACTTGTATCAGTTAAATGAGTTGCATCAGATTTAACCTAGCTATTGTTATAGATAGGTATACATGAGATTCATTTCTATTGGTATTTATATTAATTGGGCCCTAATTAAATTCAGTTCCCCGGTAGGGAAAATTGACCCAGTACGCGTCTGAGCTCATAATCTATAAAAAAAAAAGGTGCATCCGAATTGAGTTCCAAATTTAAAATTATTACACTAGTTGAGTCCCGGATTTTTATAGTTACTACACTAGTTGGGTCCTGAATTATTTTAGGTATACACTAATTCCTGAATATTTTTTTGTAAGTACTACATTATATTAACATTTTCCTTCCCATTTTAACAGACTTAGGACTGTCTATGATATATTTAGATCACATGTGGTACCTGTAGGTATGGTTAAAAATATTTTTATAGTTTTTTTTTTTATTTTTTAATTTCTTTACCATTAATTTTTAACTATATTATATAATGATTTTAAAATGTTTAATATTTTTTTAATTTACCTATATGGTATAATTATATTATATAATATGTATTTTTAAACTTGATTTTTAATATTTTTAATATTTTTACCAATGCAATTGTAATAATATATATTTTAATGAAAAAGAAACTAAAAAACAAAAAAAAAAAACTATAAAAAATATTTTTAATCACACCTGTGGTCTAAAAAGATCATAGACAGTCCTAAATCTTAAAATGGGAAGGAAAATGTTATTATAATGTAGTACTTACCAAAAAATATTCAAGAACTAATGTAAAACCTAAATTAATCCAGGACCCAACTAGTATAGTACCTATAAAAATCCGGTACCCAACTATTGCAGTACCTAAAATAATTCGGGACCCAACTAATGTAGTACCTATAAAAATCCGGGAACCAACTAGTACACTACCTGCGATTAGCCCCTAATACTCGGGACCCAACCCGAATGCTCCGATAAAAAACCGTTAAAATCGTTCCAATTCACCCCAAACTACGGTACATTATATTTAAAATACAATTTTTATGTTTTTTTAAATAAGTTCTGTAAATTATCAAATATACAAATAATAAAATTATAAGTATATATTTAATTAGATTTATATTATTATTCCATTAAATCCATTGATAGGTAACTTATAGCCTACCTATAGGATAATTAAATTAATTAATTTCTATCTTTAATGTTATTATTTAATTGGGCAAATTAAAACGTTTCGTGTTCTTTATTTATTTATTACTAATCTTTACATGTTTTGTTCCGAAAAAATATTTTATTGATGGTCTATGGTCCATAAATATTAAATATTTAAATATGTACATAACCTTAATTTTTTAAATATTATGAAATCAGCAAATTTAATTAGTTGCCCCATCCTTTTAAAAATTGAAATGACTACCCTGAATAGTGCTGTCCGAGTTGTTTTTTTTTAGATATTATTAGTCCATGATAACAATTTACATATGTACCTACTGGAAAAGCATTGTTTGTCTGATATCAACAGAAAAAAAAATATATCTATACAAATACTTTGTATTAAAATCATAATGCACCACAGGGAATGGAGAATATCTCACGTACTCAGTCATCACGTGTTCACGAACACCGTGCAAGACTTGGAGATGACGTTGTTTTACCCGTTCCTCCACTGGTTTCCGACCGACGACAAACCGTTCACCGTACGTTGGGCACCGTACCTCACACCCGTTGTTTATCCGTTTGTCTTGCCTGGACAATTCTTCATCAGGTTTGTTGCACTCGTTATGTCATTACAAACGAAAATCTATAGAACATTACTACTACATTACAATCAATAATCTATCACGGTGATCATGTTAAAAATGGTTTTTACGTATATGGTTTGTTTTTTTTTTCTTACGCTAATCCACTCGTTATTGTTGTACTGGTTTTTATTTGTATTTTGAAAACAATATCTAAACGATATATTTAGTTCATTAAGTTGTTACGTATAACTTCTAATAAACCATAATGTCACTTGCCGTATACTTAACACGTTCGTAATCAACTATAGTATTAACTATCTAGATAATCAGTCACGCAACACGGATTTATCTCTTACAGTTTTTTGAAGCAAGTGTAATGAATTCTGTTGAGATTTTGAACAAGTTAAAAAATGTACTCTGGGCACGTGTTTACCTGAATATTAAAAAAACGATACCAATTCGATTTAATAATTTATATTTAGCCGAATAAAAGTATAATATAATCAACTTAGATTGAAACTTCTATAATTTTTATTTTAATTATACAAAAATATATGTACGATTTCATTACGTTAAGTCAAAACATAATAAAAAAATAGATTATTTATCTAGGTTAAATCTGATGGAAATATATTTGTAAATATTTGAAGCTTTACAAATATGTGAACACTACATTATAACTTTTTTGTAAATACTATCAAAGTATTCGTGAAATACATTTTAAGAAGAATTTGATATTTTTAATAATTATTTTTAGTTCCTATGTACATGACTGATCATGTATTGCATTAACTATATTATTATCTCATATGTTTTAGAACTTTCAAACGCAAGAATGATATCACTAATTTTCTAATATTCGTCATACCAACAATATTGTTTTTTTGTGGATCCACGACAATAACTATTATGTGTGTCTGTAAATTGTGGCTTACCATGATACTGACTAGCAGTTTTGTGTTCACGTTTCTTGGACTCAGTGTTTCTCATCATTTTCCGAATAACTTTCACGATGGAGACTATGTCAGGTAAACAAACAATTCTTCTTTTTAATATTATTGAATTAAAATAGTTTAAGAATCTTAACAAATTTAACGATCAGTATTGTTAATGTAGTATAAAATATTATTAGATTATTACTATCGCAAAAGAAATATCGGAGGATTATTATTTTCGTACTGTTGATTTATATTTTATATCTAACAATATAATAATGATAGAACAAATTATTTGATGAGTATAAACTACTGAAAGATAAGAATTGGTTAAAGGACTTAAATAATTATTTATAGTTATAAAAAATAGTATATTTTTTAAATTAAGTTGTATTTATTATTTAAATTTAAATAAAATATGATAAAGCACCATAAACCTAAAATTTAAATTTATAATAAATAAGTAAATTATATTATTGATAATGAAACATAATTGTTAATCTTTTATGGCATGTCTCAACCTTTTAATTTTTAATTTTTTATTTTTTGGTACAGTATAGAAAAATGTATGTGACCCTCAATTAATCACCAAGATTCTTAACTAAGAAATATAACTATATAATTATTGTTTATATTAATTCGTCAACGAGAAAAAAATTTTAGATATAACGCAATACGGTTTGAAATGTATTTCATTACTTTGTTTAGCACTGAACGCATTGACTGGGGACTTCATCAAATGGAAACCAGTGCAGAACGGAACGAACTTATCGATAACTTCTTTATCACCATGGTAACATTCGGTGATCACACGTTACATCATCTGTTTCCGTCTTTGGACCATAGCGTAATACTAAATTTGCAAGACACCTTCAAATATACTTGCGAAGAATTCGGATTGGACTTGACACAAAAACCGTTCACAACAATTGTACGTGGACAATTTAAACAATTAGTTCGCATAACTCCTAAAAATCCAAAAAAAAAATAAACAAATGACTTGAAAAATTGTTGTGAGTTAAAACAGCGATTTGCCATTAAAAAGAACATCATAGAACATCATGGATGACATTATTTCGTGCGCTAATAATTACATTTTGTTCGTAACATAGAGAATAAGTATTAAATATTGTATTACCAGTACTTGACTCGGTAAAATTAAAGAATGATGATTCTGTTTACTTAAAAAAAAAAAAGGTTTTCCCAAAACTTGTTAAGCGTTATAATTATAACGTAAAAATAGTAAGGGGACGCTACAATTTCTGAAAATTAGTCAAGATACTTCGTCCCCCTGCGTCCCTTCAAGTCCAGCAGTGTATTTTAACATTTTAACTTTAGTATTAAAACCAATTGTGCAAAATATATTTATTGATGTGATGTGAATATTATTAAATTAGCTCATATTCATAATTATAAATATAATATATAATATATAATATAGCTAAGATTTTAAGAATATTATGGCCAAACATACATTAAAAGAGTAAGTTAAAAAATATTGGACTAATATTTGTATGCTGACTTTGAAACTTAACGGCTAAAGTTTGCTAACAAAAAAAAAATCCTATTCGTCCGCAGTGCGTATTTTAACTTTTCAATAGTGTTTTCAACTTAATATTTCCGTTGGAAAACTAAAAAACTAGATCTAAATTGTTCCAATTCAAAAAGAGTGCATTATATTTTATAATAATATAATTATAGTATTCTGCCTAAAATCATAGAAATCGAAAACAAATTGACGTTATTTTAAACTCACACTCACACTTTATCTATCATAAAATACAGTTTAAAAATAGTATCTCTAAAGTATCACCCTTTATTTGATGTACCCACACTAAAAAAATAATTAAAAATCGGTTATGGTCAATACAATATTTTGTAATTTACAAATAGCGGTTAAATAGGTTATTATTAAGATTTAATTTTTATTCTATAGCTGTAACTAATTATTGGCATAAGATTAGTCGTTTATTTTAGTACAAAAGTGAATTCAAAAATATATGGTAATTTGATGCATACATAACCCATAATATTTAATATGCTTAATCTTTATAATTAATACTTAATTACCTAAAGGCACAAGAATTTTAAATATTATTTAATATTATCTTAGTAATTTACACAGATAGAATCACATGAGTGATGAAAATCGTGTAATTCGATTTTTTTTTCAGAGATATTTTTATCTTTATCTTTCCTGAAAAACATGAATATTCCTGTATTTTTCTATACGACGCATAGAAATCCCATGTACGATGTAATTGATTAATTGAAAAAAAAACTTTGAATCGCATTTAAAGCTATAGTTTTACTATCATATATATTCGTACGTAATCTATATGCGTACTATTTGCGTGCACGCCGCGCGTATGTGTGTGTATTCGTTGTGTTTGCGGCTGTGCGTATGCGCGTACATTGTACGGATTCGGATAAACGCGAATCGTAGGAACGTAAGACGTGCAACGCGAGTTCTGATGAGATTTTAAACCTACCGAGTGCGCGCCTTGACATGAATAAGGAAGCGGCCACGGCGGGAGCGAGAAAGACGCAAAAACTGATATACATACTGCAGGTACACGTGATCGTGTCCCAGGAGAGAAGAGAGGCGATACTCCTTAAGTTCGTCAGTATTTAAAGTCGCATTAAAGTGGAAACCGGGGGAATTGATATAACTTGGATAATCTTGGATTATCATTTAAGGCCATGGTAAGTTTTTAACTAGAGTGCGCACAATTTTCCTCCGGGCACTGCAAAGCGTCTCTACATAATTATTCAAAAGTTTGTTTGATACGACCCCCTCGATCAATCGATCGATTTTTATTACCGCATTAGGTTGCGGGAATAAGACCGTACGGATCGAGTGTTCTGGCGGTGGTTTTCTGCCCTCATCCTCTAGCACGACTTAGATCTATTTATAAACGAATAAAATATTTAATGGTGATACAATTATTCGGCGCAATCACATAATAATGAAATTTCATGTAGTTTAAACATTGATTATAAAAAAAAAAATTAGGAAAATATTTTTAATTAATTATGATCATCATAACGTAAAAGAAATAATAACAATTTAATTAAATTATAATACGCATATAATGATGGCGTGAATCTATTTCATTTTTAAATAATCCTACAACAGCATTACCAATGGAGGGCCAGATATAGCCCTACCAGAAAATTATAAAAAAGATAATGTAACCCAGTGCTAAAAACCCTATTGCGCCTGTGCTGATGGTATCATCTCGTCGCCACCGGTAGTTAAATGAGAAGTAAAGTGGCTGAGTTGATCCGATTAGCAAATAGAGTAGCATCGAAAGTCCTATTGGAGTTGCCAAAAAACCCAAATAAATCAGAAATAGATCAACAGGACGAAAGAGCATCAACACCTACAAGATAATTGTTTGAATTTTTTTCCACAGCTGTACCGATTGACAAGTAAGCATTATGATCGCGTTAAAATGGAGGATGTAAGCATCGACAGAAAACCGACCTGCATTAACCTATTTCTAGGCCTTGCGGTACATCTCCGATATTTTATAGTTAAAAAAAATATGTTAACTTTCTTAAAAGCATAATTTTTCTCGAAGTCCATACGCGACAATCAACGGAAACGCAGACCCGTTGTAATATTTAAAATACAAAACGATTTAGATAGATTAATGCAAGTATACAGTGGAATTCGTCGGTTTAACTATTTAAAAAAAAATTAACGTAGATACGTTTAAAATGTGTGTTCTAGATGAATATTAATAATTATTACAACCGCAATAGGAGAAATACGTCAAATAAGATTAAAACAATAGTGATGTTGTTCACTTTTTTCTGAATCTTCGATGGTTTAGCTGTTCCCCAAACCTGGATACCGTAAGACCAAATCGAAACTAATAGCATTTTTTACAGGTTTAATTTATTTTTCAAATTCATTTTTAATTTTTTGTTTATTAAAAAGTTTCTGGGTCTTTAGTTGAGTAATGGTATTTTTTTTTTTAATATGGTGAACCAAGGTAAGTCTTTTGTCTAGATGAATACCTAAGCAGCGTTTGAGGCTATGGGAATGATATCGTTGTTTAATGTTACAGGAGCAGGAGTACTTTAACGAATAGTCAATGTTACGTCCAATGATTTAGAAGTATTGATTTTGACTCTCCATTTGGCATACAAGATAGATAGTAGGTTGAGGTGATTTTAGGCTAGGGCCTATTTTGAAATGTCAACATAATATTTGGTTGCTACAGCACTGACTATATTATACTGTTAACGATAACTAATGAAAAAGAGAAAAAAATATTAAGATATTCTGATTATTAGTGGCAGTTTTAATTCAAGGAATATAAAATAGCATATTTCTTTAGATATCAAAAATACCTAAAATTGTAACATTTAACAAATAAAAAGGTTTATGTAGTAATGAATATTTTTTGAAGCAAATTTGTATCTGGTAAAAGAAACATGCTAAATGTTTAGTTTTTTTTTTTTTTTTTAAATAAGTATAAACAGAAATAAATTAATGCTTAGCGTGGAGCAGGGGTCTCAAATTTTTTTATTTAAGGGCCACAAAAAAAAATCAAATGCTCTTAGTGGCCGAAAATTTATTAACACATATAATTTTAAATTTTATGAAAATATAGGTAAATAAATTTGTTTACTTTACAATATACTTAAATAAAAATATACATAAATATAATATAATATAAATTATAATATAAATAAATGTTTGAAATAATTTTTTTATTAATGAGAATTATGAAATTTATGTTTTTCTGTCAATATTTTATCGAATTTAGGTAGTACGTCACTAGTTCCAATTTTCGAAATTGCCTCCAAATGTTTGTCCGTCATGACCAACCTACATTTTGATTTGATGTTTTTCATTTAGGAAAAAGTTTGTTCGCACAAATAAGCTGTAGCAAATACAGATATATAATCAATAATCAATTGCAATTTTTTTTTAATTTGGTTATCTGGTAGAAATTTATAAAAATCAACTAGTCTCTTCGCGATGTTTCATTTTCAGTGCATCATTACATTGCAAATCAATCATTTTCATTTGAAGGGTAGGAGGGTAACTTATCAATATCACAACCAAACGGATATTGAAAAATATTTATGTCTTCAGATTTTACGTCAAGGTCAGAAAATCGTTGTTTAAATTGAATTTTAAGTTCAGAAATTATTTTTTGAGCGAAGTCGATTGGAAATTGTAATTTATATTCATTATATTTATCGCAATTAAAAAAATGAATAAAACAATTTTTTGAAATTTGTGTTTCAAATAAAATAAGTTTTTGCAAAAGTGCTTTTACTAATATGTCTTATATTTACTGATACAGTGAAAACTGTCTAAAGCGGACCCTGAATAAAACGAAAAACTATCCAATACGGAATTTATCTATGATCCCGGCACGTTTCTATAATTTTATGTAGACGCTGAACCTCAATAAAACGGAACCTTCTTAACGCGGAAACGGAATGATTTTGTAAGTCCCATGCAAGTATAAACCTTGCATAAACCGGAAAAATGACGCACGCGTGTGTACTATAAACCAAAAATAAGATATAAAATGTAGATAGACGTATGTACAATGTACATAATTTACAATAGTGATAGATAAAGAAGATAAAATTGTTCTATACATATTCGTAAAATATATGTACATACAGTGGCGTATACGAGGGGGGTGTTTGGTAGATATGACACCCCCTTTGAGCCGTATCATATATTACATTATTATAGGAATATTGGTAAATCGATAATGCAATATGAAATATAAAATAATGCACAATACTAATCACATATATACAGGTTAACATTATCGCGACTGCGACAATACGTGACGAAAATTATTCGTTTACGTTTTCGTGCAACACAAAACGTTTAATAATAATAGGTATTGTAGCATCGAATACTGATATTCGAATAATTTATGGTAAAGCTATCCGAATTCGAATATACATTACATCTCTATTACAGACATTATGTATACATATTAATTAATTAAAATAAAAGTTTTAGTTTGTACGTATTATACATAATATTTAATAATTATAATTAACACCCCCCTTCAGAAAATCCTAGCTACGCCACTGTGTACATACAATGCATATTATCGCATAAACGACACGAACTTTGTAACTGTGAAACAGTTTTACACCAACAATCGTACGTACACCTTTAATTTTATCTTCCGTTCATAACATAAAAATGCAAAAATATAACACAGAAGAAAAAATAGCAACAACAGTGACAAAACAAAAAATTATTAATCATTTTTGAAAATTCTAAATGTTTATACATCATATTTAATTGCCTTATTATGAAATATGTAATAAAAAACCTATATTCCAGTTTAAATGTAATGAATTGTAAAACCTATATTTTAGTTAAATTTTAATGAATTATATTATTTAAAACAATAATTTGAAAAAATATTCTTTGGTATTTATTTGAATGGAATAATCCGGAATTTTTCCGTTTTATTGAATAAAGCGGACAACTGCTTAAAGCGGAATTTTTTGTTGGTTCCATGCGATTCCGCTTTAGACAGTTTTCACTGCAGTCCCTATTTTTCATATAAATTCGTACTACACATTTTTTAATATACAATGATATGATACAAAGCTCCTCTCTACCCCCTTCCATATGATTATAATTTTTAGTTGTTTTTTTAATCGAATTGCACAAAATTATTAGTTAAACTAAAAACCAATCTATTATTTTTTAAACTGAAAATATACTTTTGTCTGATATAAATCTGAAAACTGTTTACAAATTATTTATTTTAATGTGGGATATATAACTTAAAATATAATAGATATATTTAAGTCTTCATTAGCTATCTTGTTTAAACTAACTTCCTGAAAAACACCTTCATAATAGTCTTATTTATTAGTATTTAGTAGGTACATACTTCTCGAATCCTGTAATGCACACTTGCAGTTTCGGGCTATACACTTTGTGTCGGGGTTCACTAAAAAAATGGGAACTGTTTCACTGTATTTATATATCTATATTTACCTATGCGGGCCACGGGCTGTATTTTGGAGACCCCTGGCCTGGAGTATTATTATATTTGTAAAGTATGACTTGCTTCAAATTAAAAATTCATCATCAGATATATACAAAGTCAAAATACAATGTACATTAAATGCAAAACCCTTTGCCTTGAATTATTTTAAATAGTTTAAAATTGTTGTACAATAACATCTATACCTAATATATAAAATTAAAAATTAATTAATATTTTTGTAAATTAATATAAAAATAGTTTATATATAAATAAATAGACGATTGCTTATTGACTTCTTATATACCTGATGATACATTTTTTATTTGAAACCAGGCATACTTTACAAATATAATAAAACTTTATTCATTTCTATATACAAACTATTTGTTTATTATTTTTTTTTTTTAAAGTTAACCGACATACTAAACAGAAGAGTAACTCATAATCAACCTATGTTTATAGATTTATACACGTATTACTTTATTTACCATTATCACACAATACAATTACGGCAATTAATGATTGTTATCTGTCAAACATTATCTAGAATTTTTAATAATAATTATTAGAAGTTTGTATTTTAAACTGACTTCCTGAAAAACACCTTCATAATAGTCTTATTTATTAGTATTTAGTAGGTACAATAATCACATTATTATATAGGTACATTAGTTTTCAATTATAACACCCAAGTGTAATATTGTACTCTGTAAATTTAGTAGACATTAAAAAATAATATTACTCATTAATCAAAATAAATTTGTCAAATCAAGTTTAGATACTAAACATTTGTTAAAATCAATTCACTTAAAACGAATCATTAGACATATAATATTACTAATTAATGACAGTTAATTAATAAACCGATAAACATCTAATTTATACTCATATCAGGGAGTAATAAAATATTTGTAACTTAATTTTCCTACACCAACAACATAATAAACAATAATTACAATTACTATAAATCAAAATTTAATAGCAAGTTTTACAAAGGAAAAATAAACATTATTTTGCAATAGGAATAACATTCTAATTGGTTACAAAATAATATATTCTGTATTTTAAATATAAACTGTATTCACTGTAAAAACACTTAACATATTTAACATTTTTTTTTAAATTAAGTAATAAAATAAAACTCAGGTATAACTAAAACTTAATCTTCATGTTACCAATGTATTAAAAATACTAATTCAACTCACAATAAATAATTCAGATGGATATTATTAATACCAACTATATTAACAATTGAGTATGTACATTTATATAAAATAAATACATTATATTATAGTTAATTTGCTTTCAATTATTATTGTTTTTTTTAATTTATATATTTTACTATACAAATGCATTTATATAATTTTTAAAAACACTTAGATGCTTTATATTTTAAATTATACTAATTTGAATTAATTTCATTTTAACAGTCTGTAAGTCACTTCTTTTTTAGTTATATATTATTAATATCAACATTGTTAACATTCTTAGTAGACTCCAGCTCATCCATATAATATATAACTGACAATGGAATGATAGGTGTCAATTTAATATTTTTCACAGTAGTCCATGTTTGAACATTTTTCCTGTAAACAGAATAAATATTAGTTATTTTAACACTATCAGCTGTTTGCATTTGATGATCCATAGCATAAGCATATTTCTTCGTGTGAATATTTTTCTTGCAAATTTGATGCGGTCTAGCATTTTTAATAATGTATTTTGATTGTTTATTTTTCTTCCTCTGTCTAAATTTATTATCTTTAATAACTTGATCATTATTATATACCTTAAACAATTCTTGGTTATCATTTGATAATACTGTGTTGAGCATTAGTTGCATAGCAGGTAAAGGTAAATAAGATGCATCTATGTTGTCAAAAATTGAAAATTGTTGTTGAAAGGTATCATCTGCTGTAACAGTAGATAATTTTGAAGTATTGTTTACTTCAAATAATTTTTTTTTTAACTCATTGTCATTTTCCATTTTAGTTGTTTCGGAATATTTCTTTTTCTTTTTTAATATATGGTTCTTAATAAGAGTTAAATTATGTCTTCGTAAAGCATCCTTGGCATCAAACTCATTTTTATTAGCCTCATTTTTACTAGCTACTTCGGTACCATCATGCACACCGCGATCATAGATAGCTTTTGCCGTATCATCTTTTAATATTATACTTAAATCTAATTGATTTATATTTTCTGAGTTCCAAAAACGTTGATTGAAATTAGGATCAAAATCAATTTTAGGTGAAGGGATTGCAATTTGATTAATTTTTTCAACTTTATCAACAGAACTATTTAGTAATGGACCACACATACAAGAATATGGTGGATTACATTCTGTATCATTATTTTGTGATTTAGATGTTATGTTATTTTCCTTGGTTGTGTTCCATTGATTTTCACAGGATAAACATATAGATTGACCCATGCTATAAATTAAAAACCAATATCAGTATAGTTAATGATTATCGAATTTTTAAGACAAAAAAAGTGTAATATATAGTTTACAAATAAATATTAATTAAAAATTTGTAGATTTTTAATAAAAGCAAAAACTATTCCAGAAATGTAATATGTTCTATATGGTTCAATACATATTTAATATATGGCTTAGAAATGTAATAAATAAATAAAATTGTAAGAAACAATAAACTTCAAATATTTGTCTGTGTATTTCAAGAGAAAATTTACAGAAAATTAATATTGTATTACAACACACTGGTAACTTAATAGGTAAAACACAACTCTAGAAGGTGAACAATTTATCACTCGCTTCCTAATTCATCCTATAACCTGAATTCTTAAAAGCTCAATCTATATCAATATCTATTTCCAAGACCTTCAATTAACCAAAATTGTTTTCAATAGTTTAGTACATGGATAATGTGCACAATATAAAATTGTCCAAAACAATTTAAAATTCACATGATTAGATTTCTAGTAATTTAGAATTAGACTGTATATTAAATATATTTAACAGATTTTATCATAATTTTTTTTTTTTTAGAAAAATTATTAAACTTAAATTAAACAAAACCATTATACATTTGATTTTTTGAACTAGAATCTTCTTTAGTGAAATCTTCGGTTTCAATTTTATTCATTAAATGGCTTCTACTATCAATATCCATGAATGATGGCTTAGCATCTCTGACCTCCATGGAAAAATCCCTGTAGTTAAAATATATAATTAAAATTTAAACTTCTTTATTCAATAATAATATTCAATTATGTCATAAATTATTTCAATGTAAGGTCGGGTGTTAAAGAAAAACAACAATAAATTAATATTTATAAATAACAAGTTAAAATATAAAACTGATTTTATAGATGTTATTTCATAAATAACATAACAATGAAATTAAAATCTAAACAGTTATCTCTGAAATTAATAAATATGTATTTATTACATTTCTCAACAAACTTGTCTGTAAAGAAATTATAATTTTGTATTACAATTAGTAAGTCAACAATTGAAATTATTGTAAAATTTAAATAAATAGAATAATTGAATGAAAAATAATTGGAAATTAGGGCATTAAATGGTTAGATTATGATTGTTCATTGACCAGTCGGATCAGATGAAATCCAGAAATTAATAATTAGAATAGTAATCATCCTAGAATTTAACAATGCAGAAAAATATGTTTCTATGCCTAAAATTAAATTGGGTCTTAAAAAAATATTCAAGATATAACAGCCTTGGATAAGAATTTTTCTTATGAAGCAAAAAAATGGAAAAATGTATTTCTGAAAATAACCAGAATACTCTAGATGAAAAATTAAGAAAAATAACAGGAAAACAATTTGGTTTAATATAAATAATTCATACTACATAATCTATTTTTAAATAAAAGAAATTCATAAAAATATGAAATATTTTAATTGGTAGGATATACAATTACAATATTCCGTACCAATAAAGTACAGTTTAAATAAAATATTTACTGATATTGTAATAATACTAATTCTTTGTTGTAATATCATTGTTTTCAAATTGACAGTCATAAATAAGTAGAGAAAAATAATTCAGGTAATATTATTAGTAAATATTATTAATCCAGCCCATGCACAAGGAGATAGGGGGTTCTACTCCCTCATTGAGAATTTTTAACATATATTTTTACTAGAAATATACTAAGTTTTCATTTTTTTTAAAGTTAAACTGACTTGAAAATTCATACATAGTTGTCTATTCTTATTGTAAAAATGCCAATTTTCTCAATTTAACCTCTTTTTCTAATGTATTTTACACTGACATGACAGTTGTTGAAGTTGTTCAGACATTTATTGATTTTCAATGATATTTTATGATCATGGATATTCCAACACATATTTTTCTTTTTATTGAGTTTTTACCTAACATAAATAATTATGAACCCTTCTTTAGACAATTCATATGCACAGGCCTATTATTAATAGATTATATTTATATGTAATAATATTAACCCACAGAGCATTAAATATCTTATACATTTTTAATTAGGACCTTAATTTGCAGTACTTTAAATCAGTGGTGCATAACCAAGGGTTCATCAAATTTTATTAGGTCACCAATAATTTGACAATAAATAAAAAATGTATAGACTATTATGTATAGACTATGTATATTATTTTATATTTCTTAAAACTCTAATTTTGTATTATTTTTTTTTTTGATTAATTAAATTAATAAATTAATAAAATTTCTTAAAATTATCAATTTAATTTGTACAAATAAAATGTTTGTGCACACCAAGTATATATTATAAACTTACATAACGTGGATAGGAATGATTAGTCTTCTCATAGAAATAAGTTCATTTGTGGGTCATGGCATGGATGAAAATAGGTTGCGCACTACTACTTTATATGATGACACAATTCAACGTTTTGAATTTTCACATTTCTATTTAATATATTTACTAGTTAATTTTCGTGTTACTTCACTAAAAATTATGCAAGGCCTCAAAATGGTCATAGTTTCTTGAGGTATTTATTATTTTCAAACACAAGTATCACAACTCAACAGTTTTACATTTGAAGTTGAGACACTTAAGGTATACTCGATGAGATTTTAATACCATTTTACTCAAACTAAAATTAAAATCAGGTAAAATTCAAATAAATATTTGATTACCAAAATATTTTTCCTTATTCTTAGAGCAAAGCGAATTGTAATTGCAATCAATCTTTTAATAAGGTATATTCATAATATATAAGAACGTACTTGTAAGAATAAATATCATCAATTTCATCAAATTCATCTTTGACAGTAGGTTCTTTAATTCTATAGCCATTGATATCCATATTGAATAAAAATACCTTAACATAAACAATTTAATACAATCAAATATTATATTTTAAACAATTTTTAAAAATTCATATTTTAATACATTTGATAAAAAAAAAAAAATAAAACAACAATAACTAGTACTTTACTAGTCATACAAAAATAATTCTTTTGAATATTTCATTAATAAATAATAATATATTGGTTTGAAATCAGATATTATTATATTTTGCAACTAATAGGTACAACAAATTGAGTAAAAATATCTATGCAACATAAGTTATTTTTATAAAATATTAATTATAAAAGAAAAAATGGTGAACGAAATAATTTAGCACTTCAAGATCATAAACAATGAAAATTAATGTTGCTTTTATTTCCAATGATGATTGACCTATTAAGAAATAATGAAATATTAAAAAAGCATCATCAATTTATGAAACCTTCCAAATTTAATTAAAAGTATTAACAGTAAATTAATAAATATGAAGTCGACAAGTTGAAAAAAAAAAAAAAAAAACAAAATATTTTTATTTATCTATATTGAAACGATAGTAATGGTTACAAATTACATCTATCGTTAATAATAATACTCAGCCGACGAATAACTGAGCTATTTAAATTTAATAAATTTTAATACATAGGCCAAATTTTAATAAATTATAATAGTGATTATAAGATATTACCTTGGAATAAAACAAATTTTGAATTTACAGTGGTTTTCCACATTAACACTGAAATACCGAAAAACGAATAGTGGCAAACAAAAATGGTTAACGTGTACAAAATAAATATAATAACATCTTTTATTGCTATACTGATTACAAATAATGGTTTTTACAATAAAAACTTATATTTATCTTTGATTTCCCATATAAGTGGGTTTTCCCATAATTTGGGATTTTAATACATATTTATAAGTACAAACTGTTAAAATAACTATTGGGAAAAAATAAGACTGCGGTCACAGTGACACCGACTGATTCAACCGATCATTTTAAATAAAATAAATAGTATACGAGTGGTCTCACCGAGGCCGTCTCAGTGCCTCCGATCGCATCGGCCTATTACATCGATGTCGGATATCCATTGGATAAAATTCATTTTCGTTAGTTTTTATCAACCGATTCAGTCGACGTAATCAATTCAAACACGAATATTATTTTATAAAGTTACATTTTCATCGAGAACTGCGAGAAATTAATAAGTTTGGTCCATGGAAGAAGGACCTTATGGAATCATAGTAGTAAATCTTCATACTGTTCTGATAGTTGGTGAAACAATGTATGGAATTCTCCATATTTTTTCCTATCCTTAAAAATGTCATTCGTGTGATACTTTCGCTTTTTTAATAATAAATATTTTATAGCAGGACTTGTTTCCAAACAAAAAAATGAAGGGACATCCATTTTATTAATTATAATATGCATTCATTGCATTGAAATGAACAATAATTGTCAATTATTATCGGCCGACGTCTGAAACACTGACCGCAGCCTAAGTTTTATGTTAAATAAATGCGATACATGCCCTCAAGGAAGGTTAGTGAATTTTTAATTAGAATTCTTTTGTTATTAAATTATTATACAGTTATATTACTTTATTATAACAGTATATAACATAGGTATATTGGCGAATATATTAATATTAAAAAATAGAGCACAAACTTAACATAAATGTTAATATAACATATAAGTGTTCAAATTAAAAGTTCTAGAAGACTCAACAATTCAAATATTTCTTTATTTTTGTAACTAATAAATAAAACTAAAATAAATTGTTAATTTACATATCTATATTCTATATATTCTTTTGGTACAATTAAAATAACTTAAAATGCAATAAAGTATACAGAAATACTTACTTTTTTTAAAACTTATAATTTGAATGAAACCATTATCACATTAATGTCCTTTCGATTATTAATATAACTTGAACTGATGGTATATTGAAAAATTTATTAATTTTTATTACCCATTGGCAAAACTGTAGAAACTTCTCATGATAAAAAATTGTAATGCAATATATTCTGTTGAATGAATATGAAGTTCATTACTGTTGGCCATAAACCACAAGTCGAGAAATTCTTGAATTTTTAAATCTTGGTTAATTGAACCCATTTAATTCAAGTAAAAACACAATCTTTCTAAAAAAAAAAAAATCATCAATAAATTAATAAATACTTCAAAATATTTATATTTATGTATCAAAGTATAACTATACTAAGTTGGATTGAATATAAACAATAAACAATACAAACATAGTAATAACTGTAGTACTTAAATGAAGATTTTTAAAAATAAATAAATATACAATCATGTACAAAAATGTTGATACTTCAATTTCTAATAAAATGAATATACTTAAACCATAGACTATATGAAAACTATTTTACATAAACTGTACTTGTAAAGAAATCTATTAATAATCATTTCCATCAGCAATCCACCCAAGATACGGACATTTGAATGCCCATTTAATATTTTAAACCGGGTCTAAAATATTTCATAATATATAAATACATAATTTTAGAGGACATATTTTTTAATTAAATTGTTACCATTGACAGATTTCTATCACAAAAGAATTTGTGGGGGTTATAGCGCCTAAAATTGTTTACATATATGAAGTTCAAGAGACACAATTTCATTTTCAAGGGATACAGTATTTTAGACTGTGATTCTTAGTATTTAACAAGAAGTCTGTTAAGTGTAAACTATTTATTTAAAATGTCCAATGCATGTACTATAGATGGCTTAATTAAGGCAGTATGGACTGATTCCAACTGCAAAATAATTAAATATATTTTATTGTTATATTATTTGACCGTTTTGTAAATCACAAAAACGTTAATTTTACCATGATATACTAATTTCATTATTGACTTATACACTTACTTCAAATATAAACAAAGGTTATATTTCTATTTTTTAATCTTATAAGAAAATAGAATCTGCATTTACATATATTAAATATTAATACTATATTATAAACACAAGCATCGATTATGTTACCTACTAGAGATAAAAGATTTAAAACTGATACATTCAACTATAATAATATTCTAGAATTCCCGTCATTTTCAAATAAAAACGTAAACAACATACTAATCTTGTGCTTATCACTATAATCAGTGAATTTTGAAATTTCAAATAACAACTTAACCTCAAACACGGTGCAATGATAAGGGTTAGGATTGCTATAAATCATAGATCCTGGAGATTATTCATACCATAGATGTAAAGATATATGGAGGTGTGACAAAATTAGTCGCGATCTCGATATATAAAAAAATTAAGTATTGATATTTATATTTAAAAATTAGAGTTCTATCTCATATAAAAATAAAGAAGCATTTGCTTTAAAATTCGAGCCCTATTTATTATTGGTACTATTGTAATAAAAAAAATTGTAATAAATTATTAAGAAATTTGAAAACCCGGAATACGGACTAGATGGTTGTATTGGATTATTATTATTTTCGGCTTAGTCGTTAATTTTATTAAATGTATAGATTATCGATCTGCAGACAGATCATTGACAAAATTTTATAAATATTGCCTTAGATGCAGAAAAGAAGTTAAATGAAGCTAATAGACATATTGCAACTGCAATTTTGGGTAAACTAAATCGGGGTTCTTTTGAAAAATAAAGACTAGAAACAATTTCTACACGTTAATAATATACTGGTGGCGTTTAATCAAATTAAATAAATTGTCATAGGTTAGATTTAAACGAAACAATCTCATAGGTGGACATTTGGTTGAATTTTCGGGGAGCTATAATAATTCAATGTAAAATAACCTGCAGGGGCTTCGCCCCCACACCCCCTTACCATACACAAGTGAAACTTATTACCATTAAAAATATAGATATGTTTAAATTTTATTAAAAACACACTAAATAACGTATATTTAAAAATAATTATTTTAATGACAAATAACTATTTGTATTAACAATGATACTCAACATATCATCGCTATCAATCTTTTTCAATTTATAGGTAGTATTAAAAAATTGCTGAACCTATTTTGAACCAACAATGTCCTTAGCCAAGTTTTTATTTTTTTCATTGCACTGAAACTTCTTTCGCAAGTAGCCAAACTATGTAATTGGTACTGTTAATGCTATTGTAAATAGTTTTTTATTATTTCTTATATCACGATTTTCAAAAAAAACAAACAGATAATTATATATAATTATCTATAATTATAATATTAATTATATTATAATTATATATAATAATAATTATATATATATATTTATAATAAATTATAAAAACAACGAATAAAATGTCTAACAAAGTTTCGATTTTGGGGGGCTATTAAAATATTTGGGAGGTCTAAGCCCCCCAAGCTCCCCTGATATTTGCCTATGAACAATCTGCATGAAGTGTGTACTGATAACTTCAGTGCAGGGCTGGCCCAAGCAAAAATAGTGCACTAGGCAAAATCAAATTTTGCTGCCTCTAAAAAAAAAATTGAGCTGTTATTTTAACTTTGCCCCTCCATCCATTTTTTATGTGATATATCTACATTAAAAAAATATTAATTTTTTTTATTTTATGTTTACAATCACATGTAAAAAGACTTAAAAATGATTTCTATATTTATTACTCGAAACCTATCACTATCGCGACTATCGGAAATTGCTGAAGTGATTGTGTGGTTATTTATATTTTTGGAATAATTGAAAATGCCCAGTGTAGGCCCTAATATAAATTAATATAATAACTTAGACCAGGGATTCTCAAACTATTAATCATAGGATTCAGTGTTTTTATAAATATCAAAATTAATGTTTGTACTGATTGATTTCAGATTATCAATAAAAACATTTTTTGGAATATTTACCTACGATTTTTACTTAGATGTGCAATTATTTCGGGGGTCAATTCATTCGCTTGCATTTTTGCATCCTTGATAAATTTACGACTCGTACGCGATTTCAAAACACGTATACTCGTCGAAAAATAAATACGAAATGGCCCCAAATTATACTTTACTTTTACGAATTATGATTCAAGTGCGAAACATATGAGTAAAACTCGTGACTTTTGGATGTATATTTAGTGTGTATAGCAAGGGCGTAGGTAATGATTATTAAAGGAAGGATTTGATAGATTTAGGTAATAACTATTTTTATTATTACCTATTTATTTACTAGCTAGGATTTTGACCATGGTGGACAGTGGTTTGACCACCCATTTCCCTTACCTGTGTCACTGAATCCACCCCGGGTCATTCAGTGAAAATTCCTTAAAAAATAGAAGAGTATAAATAGTCAGTCCTATTCGCCCACTAATAATCGAACAAGTGCCACTGCCAGACCACAGTAGCAGTAAAATTATCTGAATTTTGTGGTACCATTAGTCTACCGTTTCATATTATAACCATTTTGGAATCACTGAGTCGCTTATCAGTCGCTAACTTGATATTATTTTTTTTTAGTACTCGCGCAGCAGCGTGTTATCATGACACGTCTGGATTTTCAATTTCGCCCGTAATATTAATATAATATTGAATATAGTTATTGCAAAGCCGTGTAGTTTTTTTTGAAAAATCGACCGAATACAAAATGCACTGTAACACGAAGAACGCTTATTTTCTCCTCCAACGATTTCACTAGTATTTCGAATGAAAACTACTCGTAAATCCATATTATTCTTATTCTACACACAATATTACATCAAGTAACTATTATGGACGTAAGTGTATTTTACTTAAACATAAACATATATTAAAAATTACCTGTTTATACATTTATAATTGGATGGTGTTTAATTTTGTTTATTATTCAAAGTGATATTTACTGACGTGAATGTGTTGCTTTTCCTTATTCGTTTTACTGTCTAAACAGTATTGCCCTTTTACACCAAAACCTCGATTTGTTTACAAAATATTTACAATATTTTCGTTTATTTTTATCTAAGCAGTTGTATTTATATTTAAAATTCATTGTACAGTAATATTATATTTTCAAAGCTTGTAGGATATACAAATAATATTTTTTTCATTTGGTACTTAGTTGATACTTAATGTTTTTGTTTATATAAATAGTTACTTTATAATATTTCAATATATATGTGTACTTAGTATATGACATAGACAAGTGTACAGTGCCAAACCCAAATGGTGAAGTTACATTTTTTTTTTAATTCAATATAGTTGTATACATTTGAATTATCTTTTACAATCAAATAATAATTAATTTTTAAGTTGATGATAATTTATGTGTATTTTAATTAATAATTACTTATGTAGTCTGCATTTTCATTTTCAGTTTTTAAATACAAATACTGGACAAAATGTATTTAATAGTCAAAATGGTGGTCATACTGCAGTTGTAAGCATATTGTATCATAATTTAATAATATTAATTTCATTTAATTTAATCATTATTTTTTTACTTTCTATTGTTCATAATTTTGTTGTAATTGATGTATGAATAAGGAGAGTAATGTTCCGAAAAAATTACATTCTTCTAATTATTAAATTTAATTTTTATTTAATTTTTCCAAATTATATTTCTTATAATAATATTTTGGACTTATAACTTGAATAAAAGTCATATATGCAAGTTTACTCAAATACTCAAATTGTATATAAATATATACATATTTAAATTTCTAAACTTACATATACTAGATATACATCTACATATACTATTTTAACAATGTGTATAATACATTTAAATTGTTTTTTATTTAATAATTGATCCACTTTTAATCTAGTTTAAATAATTGCACTTCTAGTTTATTGATGACCGACCAATAGATAATGTTGAAGGACGAATGACTGTGTCCGGATCATTAAGGCAAAATCTTGGTGATCCTGGTTTTAATACATTGGATGAACCTATTAAGACAACAATTGTAATTATACAATTTATTAAATATATAACTGATTAACACAAAGTGATAGGTAATTCTTAATTTCAGATGAGAGATTTAAAAGCAGTAGGAATGAAATTCAAACATGTATTATATTTAAAAGAAAAAAACACACTTCTTAAAGAATGTAAGTATATTATAGTGAGATTTTAATACTTACAATTTACAGTGCATTTTTTATGTTATTTTTAGGGGACTTATGGGGTCCTTTGATGCTTTGTACATTCATGGCCATGTAAGTTATTGATTAAATAAAATAAGACATATATGTATTAAAATATTTATAAATTAATTTCAGGGTACTGCAAGCATCACCAGATTCAATGCAGATAGGCGATGGAGGGCCTGAGTTTGCTGAAGTTTTTGTTATTATTTGGATAGGTTCTGTGATTATTACATTAAATTCAAAATTACTCGGGGGAACAATGTAAGTATTTATATTTGGTTTTCATTCATATTTTCTATTTGATAAACTGACATGAATGTGGGGTAATCTAATGTAGATTTAAAAAAAATATTAGAATTTTAGAATATATAAAAAAGCTTAATAATGACAGTGTTTTACTATCGGAGAATATCAAAAAATTCTAAAGTTCAAATTATTTTAATTTATATGTATATTAAATGTTTTCACCATGCACTAGTTTCAATAGGACTATATATAAATTATTATTTATTTTGATATTGGATATTGACAATTATAGCTTAATATTTTCAGAAATAATTTTATGTAAAAATTTTAATCTATTATATGTTATAACTTATAATTCATATTTAACTATGCTATTGAAAACAATTTTTAAATTATAAATTTAATATAAAATAGGTCATATGAGTTTGTGCAATATTAATAAAGTATTATAATAATTATAACTTTGCAAAAATATGAATTGTACTTTTTTAATATTATCAAATTTATATTATTGAATGTCAATTTTAATGTCTTAAAAACAGTAAATTAACATTTTAATATATTTATTTACAAGCTATTCATATTATAGAAAAGCACTTATAATAACTTCTATATAATTTTGTATTATTTAACTACTATTAAGAAATTTTATAAACAAGAAAACATTTCTAAAACAATTTTACTTTTTATTCAATGTCTTTATACATCTTTTTAAGTTTAAAATAAATACTAAATTATCATAAATAATTATAGGTTATCAAAAACAATACAGTCTACTTTCATGTGTACCTATGACAGTAGATTGTTGGTCTTAACAACTTTTCTAACTCATAACAAACTTCTCATAACAGTCAATAATTTCAATATCAAATCTCATATCCACTGACTTCATACAAATTAGCATTATCTTTATTAAATTTGTTTACTGTATTGTGTATCAAAAAATTGAAATATTTATTGCTTTGAAACATTTTAAATTCAATAAATAAAAATAAAACTATTTTTTTTTAATTTTTTTCTCATTTGTAGTATTTTAAATTTAAATTTAGTTTCAAACATCATGTTATAATCTTGCATTTTATTTAATTCGGAAAATTTAAAATTGTTTCATTCAGTTTCAATTTGTTCTTTTATTTTTATTACTAAATGTCAGTTTTTTCTAGTAAATAAAACTACAGTCAATTCTATGATATACATTATGTAATTTGGTAATTAATTCCATACATAAGCTCTTGAACTTACATGACATTAATTCAATATATAATTCAATAAATTTTAAATAATTAAAAATATAATTTTATTTCAAAACTTCCCATGTATTTTGTATTTATCACGACTATACAGTTGAGAAAACTGATAAAATATTTTTTATGCTTTAAGTTACATTGACTTTTTGTTGTAGGAAATTTAAGTTTTAATATATTTTCCCCCGTAATTTTGTTACCTAGTTATATAATTCGTATTATATAGAAAGTTAGTTTTATTTAAAATTCTTCTAAAGTTCTTCTATAATTTATATCTAAACTTCTGTTTAAAATACTTTTATTATGTATTTTCATAGACTATTTACCAATGAATATATTTTTATTTTCAGATCGTTCTTCCAGAGTGTATGTGTATTAGGTTATTGTCTTCTACCAATTGTTATTGCTTTGATAGTATGCAGATTTATTTTAATATTTGAGCAAACAAACTTCCTATTTTTCATTCGTTTTGCTATATCAATTGGTTCATTTTTATGGGCTACTTATGGTAAGTTGCTATTTAAGTCACTACTAACAACAACTAACTTCTCAAAGGGTTTTAATTTTTAATTTTTTTTTTTAGCTTCTGTTGTGTTTCTTGGCGATAGTCAACCTCAAGGGAAAAAAGCCTTAGCTGTTTATCCAATATTTTTATTCTATTTTATCATGTCATGGCTTGTACTGTCTCATACAGTATAAAATAGTTTAAAAAAATTGCATTTTAATTGGTTACTTGAGTTTTGTTTTTTATAATAATTTTTGTTACTTTTTATGTTAAATGTTTTTTAATTATTTGGCTTGAGGCAAAACGTTATCATGTTAATAAAAGTATAGTACCAATAAAATAATTATTTTTCCAAAATTCCATGTTGATTTATAATTTTTAAATTTTTTTGAGAAAAAAATGTTCTAATTTATGTTTCTAATGTCAATTAATTTACCTAATTGCATGGTAATATTTGTTAAACATATATTTCAGTTAGTGTTTTAAAATTAATACAATCATCTATAAGTTATTAATTAACTTTATAGACAATATTGATCACAAATAAATTATATTAATTATATAATTCATATTACTTATTTTTAACATTAGATTAATTTTAAATTTGTAAGTATGAGTTTGATACATTTATTATGAATGCTAAGGATATTTTTATATAACAATTTGTTTTTAAAAAATAACTTTTGATCCATGTTTATTGAACATGCTTCTTAAATGAATTGTAATTTGTAAAAATGGACCTATAAATTAAGAACTATATTCATTTTACATATTATATGAAATTTAGTTTATTTTATTTTTTCTATACCAATACATTAATATGAACTTAAGTTTTTATTTATCATATTTTATACCATCAAAAACATGTATTTACTTTATATTAAGTAAAATTGTTAATTTAATACTTAAAACTGTTATCCAATTGGTATACATCACTAAAATATATTATAATCACATTATTTATTATTAATAAGTATGACTCAGATTTATATGTATTTAAAAGATGAAAATTTGGAAATTTATAAAAAAAAATTTACAAAAAATAATCAAATAAAAAGTACTATTTGTACAATTATATCTTATTCTGTATCTTGATTGCAATGAGAAATGTATATGTAAACTCACTTTTTCTAAATTAGATGTTCTATGGTTCAGTCTGATAGAATAATGCTCAACTTAACAGATGCAACTAGTGCCAATTTCATATTTGCAATGTCAAAACAGTGAGTACAGTCTGTAATAATGTATAATTTACTTCGCAATGGATATCCTTAATTAATTTTAGGTATTTGTAACCAATTGAAGCAGATTTTTTGCATTCAAAATAGTAAAAATTTCACTATCACTTTGAAAATGTTTGCCAAGAAATTTGTGTTTATACATAACAATAAAAATGAAATTAATGAGAAATATGTTAAAATATGGAATATCAAGTATAGCTCATTTTATTGCAAATTATTTAAAACAAATAAATTTGTTCCCTACTTATAAGATAATAAGTTGATATTTTTTCTATAAATATTTTCTAATCTTTGGAAAGAGAAAATGTAATAGATTCAATTAACTATTATATTTTGATATAAATAATTATAACATGAATATAGTCATGGTTCCATCAAAAGTATACTTTTTTTTTTTAAAGTGTTTGAATATAAATATCATAAAAGTAGGTACTAGGAATTAGATTATTTTTTTTAAAATTATCATTAGTATAAAAATGTTAAATACCACTCTAGGCGTAGGTCTATATTGCCTATCTCCTGAGCCAGGCCTGTACACAAGTACATGAGTAACCATTACAAATAAGTCTGTGATCTTATTACAGAACCAAGACTTTACTAGTTTCATTAATTTTTTTTTTAAATAACTTGTGGAGTTCTTTGTGAGTTTACAACATCATTAGTAAAAGCATGGTTTACTGAACAACTTCTTGATTTACAATTGATTGATTTTAAAGTAATGTTCAAAATGTTTAAAAGCAAATAATTGCAACAGTGAATACCTAAAGTACAATACATTTTTTTAAGGTTAAAATATAATATTAATTTTCTTTTCTTACGAGGATTCCAGCTATAGAGTAATATAGATATCATAGAGTATTGCTCTATGATTCCAACAAAGAATAACTTTATTGTTATTATTACTTTTATCCCTCTTAAAATTATTATTTTATATTTTATGGCATTTAAAAATAAAATATCTACCATGTTTTTAGTAGATACTATGCCAGAACGCAAGTAAAAAATACTTCTCATCTTGTAATGTTTTATATTAACCTGTTAATAATATTATTTTAGACAAACCAAAGTTACAATTCATGAAGTACCGTAAGTTACTTAAATTCAGTTACTTGTTTCATTTGCCAATTTTATTATTAGTAAAAACGTGTAAATTGCTTATTGTATATATAAAATTTATTTTAATTGATTATTTAAATAATAAATATAAAAATTACTTTGTCGTAAAAAAAAAGTACTCATTATTTTAGCAATTTAAAATTTAAGGCCAAGTTTTTTTACTGTGTATAAGAACTGGAAATATTATAACAAATATGATTATTTATTTAAATATTTTTAAAAGAAAATACAATAATTTATTTGTAACTTGAACAAAATGTTTTCAATTGGTGAGAAAATAAATATTAAATATAATTGATCAGATGTAAAATTCATTAAATAAAAATTAGTAATAAACATTTCGTTAGTATTGTTTATATGGATAATATGGTAGAAAGAATATCTAAATAATAGACATGCATTTTTGAGTTGTTTAATAATGTAGCCAAACACTTATACTATTATTGCATTATTTCTTTAATGTATGTAATATAATTATGTATATGTATATATATATATATATACATATAAAGGTTTTACACATTACAAAAAAAAAAAAAATTATAAGGAATATTTAACAAAAAAAAATAAGAATAAATTAAACATACTTGACAACTAAAATGTACATACAACAAAAAAAAAAAAAAATGAAATAAAATATACAAAATTGATCTATAACATTTGGGTAAAAAAAGTAAGTGATGAGAATGTAAAATATGTTGAACTATTTATATGTTTCAATAAAATTAGTATTGTACTTTAAACACAAAGTTGGATACGTGGAATACAACTCAGGTAACCAAAAATAAAATAAAAATATTACAAGTATTTTTAGTTAATCTTTGTTTTATTATTATCTTAATTTTTACACATACTAAAATAAGACTAAAATTAAAGTTTCCTTAACATTTAGTTACCTGACTTTTGACGTATACAAAACCGAATGTACGGCCCCTAATATTTATATTATTATTATAATAATAATAAAAAACACAAATACACTTATAACTATTCAAATTTAATTTATATTCTTATATGTGTAAATGTATATATATATATATATATATATATATATAAATTTACGTTAACACACCTCTCTATTCTAATGATATGAACAATGGAACGGTATACATTAAATTATTTTGATGTTAAATTTGTTGCTGGAGATGATAGATTGTTAAATTTTTTTAGCTCAATTAAAAATTAATAGTTTAAAAATATTTTTGAAAGCAAACAATAAGTTTAATGGCCGGTTAATTATTTGATCTCTTCATAGTTTGAGTCAAATGTTTTGGCTATAAGTATAAATATGAACTATAGCTATGCTTATACTAGTCAAAACATTTAAGTCCAACTTTAGATTTGTAAAAAATTAAAGAATATGTTTACATTGAATTTAAAATTAAGTTATGGGATATGTTGGAAATAGCTTATTAAGTCTATGTTGAAAAAAGAGGTTGAACACATAATTGTAGGAACAAGAAAAAAACCAATTTAAAATAAAATATTGAATTTAATATTTCAATCTATTAAAAGATAAGAAAAAAAAAGTTTTAAATAAATAATGTAGAAAGGCTAACATTAAAATTAATGCATACAGGCCATTCATTCTCTACAGCAATACATATGTCTATACTTTATCCAAATTACTATTGAATTGGTTATTTATTAAAAACTTACTGGAGTCATTTTAGAAATAATAACCGGCAAATTTATTCTAAGACTTAAATAATGATAAGAAAAGTTTAATGACTACACAATTGCCATACAGGCAAGACTTTAGGAACTTTAGTGAAATAGAAGAGAAAAAAGAGCAAACTGGTGGATTTTAATGATATGTGATTTTGAAAAACTAGTTTCATATACTGTAAATGGACCCAAAAACCAATATATGTTGATTTTTAATTGAATTTATTAACGGAACAGATTTAAAAACTAAAATGCATTTTATATAGGATTATAAAGACACACAAATCAAACACAGCAAACAATTCATTATGAACATTTTTATTGTCTTCTGAAGATTCTTCAAATTTAAATTTTTTTTTTTTTTTTAAACTAAAAATAAAATAAAAGTTGTACTGTTTCAAGTCTTTGTAGTTTTCAGTATTTGACAAATTTGAATACCATTGATAGAATAAGAATGAATTAGATCCCCAAAAAAACCAATGGGGTCATAAAAAGAAGTAATAATGTAAAATGATAACAAAACAAAATTAATTTACCATGCTTATGGAGTCCAGTAAGATATTGTTAAGTGGTTTTCTAAAAACTTATGGACTTTATAACTAATGTTGTACAATTTAAACTTTAAGTAGTTCAATAAGATGTGTTTAATTAATCACATTCATGTTAATGAACTCAAAAATGGTTTTATCATAACATCTCTAAAAAGTAAAGAATACTTACATATAAATTAATCAACGAAAAAAGAGCGCTTGTGAGCACAAAAAAAACTTAAAAAGTTTGATTTTCAGACCGACAATGACAATATTTTGATTAATCCCCAAGTTTAACGTTGCTATTTACAATATAAAAAGAAATGGAATGCTCCACTAACATTGTTAACACAGATCAAACAAAAAATCTATCTTAAGTTACTCTATATTATTATAATACTAATTGCTATTACTTTGTTACAAAACAAATTTTTTATTTACAAATTGTTTAAAGTTATGCGTAGGTAATATATATACATACGTTATAATACAGACATTAAATTGTAATAAATAAAGTCAAAATATATTGACTTAATTAAGAAGTATTGCGAGGATTCTCTTTTTTTTCCCATTCTTTTTAGGATCATTTAGAGCAGTTGAATTGTTTGTTTCACATAGGAAAATGTTATTAAATTTTAGAGTTTAAAGTCAATACAAAATATAATATGACTAACAAAGTGATAATTTGCCATCAATAGGAGCCCTGAAGTATCTACGTTGGCCGAGCTCATCAAATCCATTGTTTAGGGACGATGAGATGGACCAATGTCACTCGCTGTTACTTTGATGGTGATGATGGTGGTGATGGTGACCTCCAATAGACGGAGACGATACAAGTGCCAGAGGGTGTCCAGGAGAGGTTAGCATGGGAAACATTTCGCTTTGATTTTGCACAGACATGGAGGCAGTGAACATGTCCGTGTTGGTAGATGTGGTCTGACCACCAGCCATGGTTGTTGTCGGCGGATTGATGCGTTTCTCTTTCTGTCTGCGGTTGCAGAACCACACACGCACTACTTCTTTTTCCATGGACAGGTTGTCGGCCAAAATGGATATTTCTTCGGACGTAGGCTTGGGGTTCGCCCTAAACGCTTTTTCTAAAGAATATCTAATCGACGTCTCGATGGAAGTGCGCTTTTTACGACGCCTGCCGATCGCTTCCGGCGTGGTCAGAGGGTTACACAACGCGCTGGGATTGGTCATCGTGCTATCCGCGTCCACCAGCCACTTTTGCAATAACGGTTTTAGCTTGCACATGTTTTTGAACGACAGGTTCAGAGCTTCGAACCTCGAGATAGTCGTTTGAGAGAAATCGTTGCCGTATAGTTTACCCATTGCCAGGCCCACGTCGCCCTGAGTAAATCCTGTAATCACGAGAAAAATAAATAAAAAAAAAGTGTCAGACGAAACGTTTGCAACAAACGGACAATAATCGCGACAATTATTGACGCTTTCGGGTAATTATTGCCTATCCGTGCACTAACCTAATTTAATGCGTCTCTGTTTAAATAGTTTTGCGAACTGTTCCAATTCCTCGAGATCAGTAGTGTCATCAGTGCTGGTTTTGGTCTCGGCCAACCGGCTCAGAGCCGCCGCTGCCGACGGATCAAGGTCGTTGTTTGACGACTGGGTCTGAGCAGAATGTTTGGAATGATGAGACGGCGTCGACGAGCCAGTCGGTCGCGTCGACTGATTCGGTCCGTTGCCGACCGGGGATAGTTGATGATGGTTGTTGGTCATGTTCTGAGCCTGTTGGATTTGTTGCAATTGAAGTGATGCTTGAGTCAACGCTTGGTGAACCTAAACGAAGAGAGTTTGGATTAGAACGTATATAGACATGACTATGGTAAGTAATGGGTTGGGTGAAGGGAAATAAGTTGGTAAGAGTTTGTAGAAGTTTACCTGATTTTGGAAAAAGAACGGTGTTTGGTTTCCGTGCGTGGCGGTCGACTGTCTCATTAACAGATATTGGATTTGTTGCTGGAAGAGCGCTTGCAGTTCTTGGGGAGTCAGAGAGGACTGGCCGCCAGGGGGGCTTCCGATTAGCGGGTTGCTCTGCGGCGATAGAACTCCGAGCCCAGGAATCTATGAATAAGTCGAAGAAAAAAGGAATTACAAACGATACCGGTGGTGAAAACGATGCAAAAATTATACCTGTGCAAACTGTTGACTCTGGAGCGCAGCTAACGGGTCGCTGCCGCTTGTTACGTTTGCCGAACAGTTTCCCGATGGTCCAGTACTGCTCACGCCCGAGCTCGAAGAGCTCCCAGAATGTCTATGTGAAACCTACAAACGCAAATTAAATGAATGGTTCAAACATTGAAACATTTATTGAGGTATGATGACACACACATACACACACACACACACACACACACACACACACACAATCAATATATGTTTTGTTTAATTGATTTATGAAAATTTAATCCAAATATCATTATGTTTTGCATCGATAATTCGGTATATTAAAAACTTGCGACATGTTAATATAATCGCGCACGCGCGTAGTACCACGGTTTCGTTTAAGAAATACGAAACGCGGTGATTTCTGAAAACGTACATTGAAAGCACGAGTATAATAATGTTATAAAACGAAAAGCGGCGCGCGTGTGCATCACAATAATAATTGAAAAGAGAGGAAAAAAACGACAGTAAGGTTTACGGGGAAACAAAGAAATACGAGGACGCGTGTAACAAACAATATTGATATAAACGAAACGAATATGTTAACTCGAGAGTATCCGACATTGTGCGATGTGAACGAAAAAAAGAATAAATAAAAAATTTCGCAATAATACTGATCACGTATTATATGTTTGGAAAATGATTAACACGCGTAATCGCGAAAATATTTTTATCACGGGTAACGTGAACCGTCACCACCGATTGCGGAAGAGAAGGGAAAACATAATAAATTACACGATCAAGTGCACAGGAAAAGCGTAAATAACAAAAAAAAAAAAAAAGTAATAGGAAATCCCCCTGTATGTGTAATAAAGGACGTGATTCCGCGTAAACGTTTGATTCGGAGAAAAAACTCCCTACCCCCTCCCAATTATACGATGTCGACGCGGAAAATCTCTACGGGGAAAGTTCTCTCTCAGTTTCAAAGGTCCGTCGTCGTGGTCGGAGCCCGGATTTATCGGCGAAACAACGCGTTCGTGTCTGGTTGTTGTTTGGTTTACATATATCGTTTTTACTTCTATGAAAAACTGTGATGCGCACGCGATACAGTTTTTTGCGGACTGAAACGGAACCAGAATTGTGGATTTATCGGCGAAGCAACGCGTTCGTGTTCGGGTGTTTGGTTTACATATAATCGTTTTTACTTCTATAAAAAACTGGTGCGCGCGCGATACAGTTTTTTGCGGATTTAAACAGAACCGGAATCGTGGGGGGGAAAAAAACAGCGAACCGGAGAAGTCGACGACGGACGTGACGGAGTTTTACAGACACACCGAGGTCACGAGCACGTGCTGTATACAGCTGCATATAATAGTACGTAATATACATAAATATATATACATATTAAGTTCACGACACAACCTTATAAAATACTATCTTACAGCACACAATGCTACTGTATGGTACATTGTTATAAATGGTGTACACAACGCACATAGATATGTGCGGGCAACAGAGTTTACGGGGTAGGGACAAAGTGGAGCGGTAGAAGTAAAAAAACGGTATCATTACGCGTAATAATAATTATACGCGCCGAAAAAAAAACCTTTACCTACTCTCCTACAGTTTTATTATATTTCGTATTATTATTGTAATCGAACACCGGACTAGGTGCCTACGTATATTCCTATTGTGTTTATAGCGGTTCTTTTTGTTTTTTTTATCCGCAGCAATTCGGCTTACGAAGTCGCTACCACGGCTGGCGGTTAGGTGGCACACGCGAACGTCGTGTTTCGTACCAAGTCTTATCTCCGAACAAGGTTTTACATATCTTCTCCTCCCCCGTCTGCTTCGCTAACACGACGCGTGTTATTCGCGCGAATTATCTATTTCTTTCTCTTTGCCGACGCAATAAATGGTGAATTATTTAGCGGTACGCGAGAGACGGCAAAAACAACACCACGTACCTATATACGTATATATATATATAAAAGTAGGCGTAAAAATGACGTTTAAAAGTATGGTGGGGTGTCCTAGAAAATCTTTTTGGGGGAAATAATATAATTTGGGAACGCCGCCAATGACTTTTATACGCCGGCCGCGACCAGGAAAATCCATTAGACAAGAAGCGCGAGAGGCTTATTTCGGGCGAGTTGACAACACGGAGTGGTTGCGGGGGCACCGTTGAGCGTTATTAATCAATTCCCATCAACGACCGGTGCGCGTGTCATTGTTTCGCATCGTCTTTGAGATCCATTCCGCGTACGTGCACGAACAACACGCACGCACGCATTTATTTAAGACGGCTGTCAAAATTCCTCTTATTTAATTATATAACTTATTTCCCTCGTCGATATAGCCACGGCGATGTTACAAGAGGTGGTCGAGTTTTTCGGGCGGTGTTCTGCTGTTGACCCTCGTAGTTGTTGCTACGGCAGGCGTATAAACTTTTATTAAGATCTAATGAAAATATAATCCCCGTGCACCCTGTGTCTCGGCGCTACTACCCCCGTGAGTATCGATTTTAGCGATTCGATCGCATATACATATATACACCCCTAACCTAACATACGCTGTTGTCTTATTATAATCATATTCATATATATATATATATATATATATATATATATATAGGTGCAGTATACAGACAATTACTTCTAAACGTGGGGAAGGGGAATGAAGTTGTGCTGAAGTGCTCATATTAAATAAGGCACTTGATTAGCAAATAAGTCTACTTTTTTGTTTTTTTTCCCATAACTGTCAGACCTACATTGGCATCCAAGAGTGTAGTTATTTAATATCGTATTTATACGTATGTACTCGGGGTAAAGAATAAGTGACCGGAAAAGGATACTGTGACAAAACATTTACAGTGATCGTGTTTTGATACATTCATATTATTAATTTGAGACGTATTTCGCAATCTGCTCTTCGAACACGAGATTCTGCCCAGTTATTTTTATATACCTACTACTCCCAATTATCGTTGTTAGATCTGTCACTATTTTTCAATTCGTTCTTTGATCAACATTTCGTTTTTCTTATGAGACAATACATAACAGTCTCAGAAATGTTTCTTAAAACAAAATAAAAATGTAGGTATGTACGTCTAAAATGGAAATGCTGGACGGTAAATTTCGAATTTGAATTTCAAATTTTAACGATACGTCGAAAAAAATTGTATATAAATTGCCGATAACATAATATACCTCGTGGTCGCGATATTCGATAAGTCATACGTGTGTAACTGGACAAGACAGTTCACATATATGTGTTCTATACATATTCGATGAGTTTCCATACATACATACATACATATACAATATATACACATAGCATGTTTTCCGAAATCGAAAAGGGATATTTTTTCTAACATTTTATATGAGTTTTTTATTTATTTAAATAGCGTACGTCCGGGCCCTCTTTTTGACCGCAGTTCGCACTCTTTTTCGCCGTAACGGACTATATTAAAGAAGGGTCGAATATTAGATTGCCCCCAGCTACAGCACCACATATATACGAACCCATATATCGGTGTATAATCTTCAATAGACTGTAAATGTTTAAATATTCGGACGGAAGTAGTAAAACGTTTCAAAGGCTTCGTGTACATTGGACACTTGGAATATATTATCATATAATATACACGCTTTACTGCAGAGTACCGTATGTAAGATATCACGTTTATAAAAAAACACGCAGAAAGAGATAATTACGATAAATTATTAGTTTGCGCGTTAAACATGGTTTGTAGGTGGTGTACAAACGGGCCGAAATCATTAATGCATCCAGTAAACCTCGAGTTCACACTCGGACACAATACACAACGTACACGTTTGGAGCGGGCGCGAATAATTCAAGTACATAATGCAGACAATATTTGCCTTTTGTGTTTCGAGCGAACTTCCTTGCAGTACGGGTTAATTTTTCACGACTTGAATAATCGTCTGATCCGTGGTGGTTTACGCCCCCCTACACGTGAACCCGGTGATCGTAACTTGCCGCTAGTACGTTTATTTATGCATTATGTATATCATCATGTTATACGTGTATGAAGTAGGCACACTGCGTTTGTGAATAGAATCACGTTAAATGATGTGCGTCGTTATTACATAATTTATAAATGTGTAGGACGCGCGGCGCGTATGTATGTGTGTATAATATATTTTATAATACGATGTATCTTAATTTCTACGGTGTATACATGCATATGGTATATAACACAGCTACGAGTTGAATTGTTATTAAACGGATAAACGCTAGTGCAATTAGCGCACCAGCTATGGGGATTTATCATTTGTTACCATATAGTGGTGCCGCCCGCGATCGCATAAGTCCTTCTCGGAGTCGCGGTAGAAAATAGAAATAAAAAATAATAATGTAGGAACACATATAATGCTGTGTATAATGACTATAGGTGTAAAAAAAGAAACACCGCCCCACCATGATATTGCGTTTTATACGCGATACAGACACCAGTAGAAGAATGCGAACAGTGGTACGGCAATTTGTCTGAATCTGTAAACGATTATTATGTGACGTCATTACGTTAGCACGAATAACGAGATTACCAATATGTATTAAATTGTTTAATGCCTCATCTTCGAACCATCTTTATTTTTCAAACACGAAGATTATTATTTGCGGTCGTGATGAAATTAGTACATGATTAAGTGATTGAAACTTAAATAATCGAATTTAATGAATTAAACATGGTATTTTTCTTTAAAATTAATACAACTTCAACTATCAATATCTATCAAAATCACATGTATAAGATATTTATTTAGACCAAACAGTATTCTCGCATAATTCGGTTTTAATAGTATTGGGAAATGTCGATTGTACGCGCACAATATGGGGCATCATATGTAACGCATCTTGAGTGTTATATATAATAATAAATGATTGTAATCAAATAAACGATTTGTATGGCCTCTACGAGTAAAAATCGAAATGAGTTTAGTATTATGCGAAAATCATGATATAGTTCCGACGTTTAAAATTAAAAAATACATCAAAAAAATCAATTTTGTACGTTTTGAGTACTTATTTACATTTCATTTTTTACAACATAATATAACTTACCAAATTCAATGCTCCACTTCTGTCTGGTGACCCATCCGAATTGAGCAACAAATCGTCACTTCCAGTGCTATCCTCGCTGTGATCGACGATATCTTCCGCCCTTTCTTCGTCTCCATTATCATCTGTAACACGAAAGGAAATTAATCACATTTTAAAATTTATAAAATCGTTCAGATTTGACATAACACATTTGAAATTTTTTAACAAGCTTTACGCTGTAGCTGACATTAGTGCATTCAACTTAAACATAAATCATTTGATGTACAACAATACTTTTGTGTTGCTTGTTGGCTCGTGTACAAAAGGGGTGTCATTCGCCACGAGTCTCACCCCCTTTCTGAAGAAAAGGGTTTTAAAAAAATGATTATCGAATAATTTACGCTTGTATAATATAGCACTATGATTGGACCGATGATGAATTGTATGTAGGGACAAAAGACGATTACAAAAAACCAACCCCGCATCTAAGTCGCGTACTTTTGCAATTGGTTAGTTATGCAAACGAGGGTTCATACTGAACATGGCTTCCGACTACCCTTTTTTTAACGCGCTGAATTCCTAACACACGCCCAACGTATTAAGCCAATATAGTTTTTTTTTCTAAATATCGCTGACGGTTCAATTTAATTTTGTTATAAACAATTAGGTATATAAAATACTTTTATAACTATTTAATTTATTTTATCAATTTATTGTATATCAGTAACGTAAAAAAACCCTTATGGAGTAAATGAGCAACAATATATTGAAAATAAATTAAATATTGAAATCAATGTATTAGTAATTACTTCATATGGACAGAATTTAAATATATATTGACATTTTAAATAATATTCATAGATTTTTATAATATTATACCTTTATTTGTATTTAAATTATAATAAAACAAAATCATGGTGACCACGTTAAGAGTAGGGTTGCATCAGATTTTATGTCCAATCGTAATTGAAAATCTCCCTAGCCATTTATGCTGGTGCCCGTATGTCTGGTCACGTTGAATATAAAATAAATACAATCTAAAGTGTGTTCAATTACGTTAAAATTAGAACAAGTTTTGTACATTTTAAAAACTTGTATAATTATTATAAATTAGAGAAAAATCTTGCTGAATCACGTTCACCCCTATATGCGGGCAAAATTGTACTTTTTAACCTAAAAAATTTAATTTCCTAGATGTCAACACGAGAAAAATATTTTCCCATAATCGATCATGGTTGATTTTAAAGTCAAAAATATAGTTTTACGGGTCAGCGAGCACACAAATTGAGCCTATGCTATGAAGTTTTTATATATGCAGAAATATAGGGAGCTGTATCTTTTTACCCCATTTTCACCCTCTTATATGGTTTTACATTTCCTCGATGTGATCCCTAAAGTCAAGTCATGATAGAGGTTAAACCACGGCAGCTATACATTCACTACACGATGTTATAGTCAATCAAATTGATCTCATGAATATGTAAAATATTTTATTCTGTTTTTAAACATAATAAAATAATTATATTTGTTAAGGATTAATAATATAATTACTGTAAATTTTTAACTGACCTTCTTCTGGAATTGGTGACGGAGATTTGGTACTTTTAATACTTTCGGCATCGGTACCTGTAACAAATAAAAAACAATATTTTTATCATTCAATTTGACACTAAGGATAAGGGTCTCAAAGGGTTATGAGCTCGTGCTATATTGCTGTTGTGTTTTGTTCCTGTTTTTAACGTCGGCACATTGCGCGTGTACATAGCCTAAAGGGAAACGGGTGGGATTTTATGAATAGAACCGGCACGAGATATAATACAAGGACCTGATTTATATACACTATAGTATTCTATCACCAATGCACACATTTCTTATTGTAAAGGGACGTGACCGAAGCGGCTATAAACGATAAAGGTTACATATTGACAAAGTATAGCACGTGATAGAAATTAATTTTTTTTTTTAATATTTCTTACAATTTCAGTTGCATTCACATTTTTTATATGGTTATTCTAACCGCAAAATTCGAGATCTTTTACCCCCGGAGGAGAGTTAAAATTTATTGTTGATCAAATAAGTTATATTATTAAATCGTTTAATTTTCAAAAACTAAACACTACACTTAATTTCCCAATGGACTTGATATACTAAATTTATGATTTAAAACATAAAGTAGGAAAAGAAAACTTTTGTATATTTCTAATATAAACTTGGTAATCACGTTTTATACAGTATCTACTGATTATTATAAATTGAAAATCGTTGAAAATAAAATATGAAAATCTATCTTATGTACCAGCAGGTATCCACTGTTCGTCCAGCTAAAAATGGCCAATATGCGAGTATGAAAATTCACGGGATACGTAAAATAGACTTAGGGATTCGCAAAACACATTGAACTATTGCACGAGACGAGTGAAAAACAGATAAAGGCCATAAGTACTACGTATTCCCAAGGGTGACATTTCGTGTTCGAAAGTGCGATTTAGTCAGAAGTGATGTGTCTTATTTATATGAACGCAACGTGCCAAGAAGACAACCCAAACACCCTATGGCCATTTATTACGTTTAACCTCGACGGACTATATTTTTTTCTTTTCTTAAGATCCCCTTCTTTGAGGGAAAACAAATACGAAAACGATGGAAAATTTAAATTTATACACCAAAGAGTATGTCGAACGAGTCAAATAAGTCAATGAAATATAAATAATGACCAGCCGTTAGATGGATAATTTACCTATGAAATTTAACTTATGAATTTTTTATAAAGGCAATACGAATTAATAATTTCTTTGCGGTCAAAACGTATACATGACAAATGAGAGTATGTCAGATATCATGTTTTTTTTTTAAATTGACGTATAGCATGAAACTTGAATTCGATAAAAAATGTAATAGTTGGTCAATTAAACATTAGAAAGAATTATTGACAGGGAATACTCAAACGTCAAGTCACTATTGCCCTATAAGGAATACTTTTCAAAAATAGGTAACAAAAAAATACTTATTCAATTATTTACACAAGAAATGCAATATTTTTTTGATGTACGATTTGTGTAAAAAGTAATAATAAAAAAAAAAGGTACAAAACGTGAATATCAATTCAAATTATTATTAAAAAAAATACACCAGAAACTTTTAATCAAATATTATGATATAAAATTTCAAATTGTAAAAAAATATTTAAATTAAAGGTTTTTTAAAACATTAACATATTTTATAGGTCGTAATAATTAAATTATTGACCAATAAATTTGTTTTTTTTTTAAAATAGTCCTATTGCATTATTTAAAAAACATAAATAACGTTATTGACATATTGACTTTTTTTTTAGTATTTCATAAAACTGATGTTGTAATGAAAAATCGATTATATTATTGCAGAATAATGAAGGTAAGCATTTTATATACATTCATAAGTTCATTAACAGTCCAGTAGTTACAACTTATCAATACGTTATGTTATAAGGTTCACCGTAAGTACGTCTACAATGTAGACTTTACATTGAATTGTAATAATTATTATTTTCATATACGACGTTTTGATTTCACTAGCTCGTAGAATGACTCATTTAGATATCGATCGTTGTTTGTGTGTGACATATTTTAATACCCTCGCAAATAAGAGCGACCGTGCATGCGTAATCCATATACATATAGACGAAAAATCCCCAAAAATGAGGGTAGTTTTGTCTCGAAACTGGATATATGTACATGGAATACATTATAGTAATACAGCTCTGTGAATGTTTGCCACACGTATATTCATTATATTCCCCAATACATCGCAGATGTTGGTTCGGGGGCGGACTGTTATATAGGGGTCAGCAAATCTTGCATATACGAGTGAGCCAGTCTGTGAATCATTCACCGAAGGGCGAATAATTTGAATCGTGTTTTTTTTATGAAAAAATGAATAAATAAATAGAAGTCTGCAGCATTCAGGGTTAAAAATAAAAGGGCCTTAATTTGAATTTCCATCAAAAAAGAATATAAAATTTAGTGCTGGCGAATACTATTTTAATAATTTAAGTACGGTTCAAAAGATCTCTTCACCCTAAACAAATAAGACTCTACGTTAAGAAACAAAACAACAAATACCTACAGTCTTCTCCACACGGGCAGCCAAAAGCGTATGAATACTCATATGCTATTTTATTTATTCTGGTCACTACTTATATACTGTCATAACTAGGCTGTATACAAACACAATATGTAAATTAAAAATATTGCTTACACTCAGATTATCATGACGTTATTTGATAGGTATACTACAGGTTAGGTATACACCATACATATTCCATGCACGTGTGGCTTACAATATTTAGTAGGGTATTAAAACTGGAAATATGATGTGTATGTGCATGAACATATATTATATTTTTGCATTAGATATTTCCAATAACACCAGGCTACCACCATTTCATTGTGATAATACAACATACAAATACCACCAGCAGTTTTGAAAACGCCGATTCAGGGTCGATACGGATATTTAAAATTTATATTTTATTCTTGTATACATTATAACATTCGACACATGTGCACTGCATACAATATTTATATGCTAATCCTGGGCTGGCTGACCACTTGGTTGTTCCCCAGGTATAAAGAGCGATTTCTTTGGAAATAATTTGAATAGACCCTGTGACCTGACAAAGGACTGTATATCCTTGACGCCAAACGCACTGCCCGCCTGGCACATATTTTTGTTACGATTTCTACGTACAACGATACGTAACCATGTATAAGAAGATATTATTTTTACAAGAAAAATAGTTACATTATTCATATTTGTTAGAACCATAAATATTATATTATTTATATATTATTATATATTATATAATATAATAATATATATTAATAATATTATATATATTATTTATATATTATATTAATATTATACTAAATTATTTCATTAAATTTAGCTATTATAAAAATAAGGAAAAAAATTAAGGCGAGGTTTACTTATATTATTCATTTTGTATAGTATTAGGTTTTTTTTTAGTTAGCTGACCAAAATCTGGTTTTTTCCTTTTGTTTGAAACGTATCCTTCAATAATTCCCCATTAACTATTTCATTAGTCTTCCACTACACGAATTTAAGTTTTCAGCCCCTTCCAAACATCCCTACAAACTCAAAGGCCGTTAATAATAAATATCAATCCCTCCTATCCACTAACATTAGTTGAAATTTCTTTTTCCCCTAAAGTGAGAAACAACATGTGCAAAACTATTCTGTCATCTTGGAATCGAGTATATTAAACGTAAGAACTTGAAATAAGACTATAAAGACTTATAGTACTATATAGTACTATATACGTAAGAATGAATATTGAATAATTATGAATATTTTTTTATAAATGACAATCGAGTAACTAAATTAATTAACTAATTAAGCGAGTTTATATTAATTTGTATGAAATTAAAAATTAATAACACGAAATAAAAAAAAAACTATAAAAATATGAACACAAACAATGTTAAGTTATCAAAATCGTACAAGCAATAGGTATCGACTCGGTGTACATGACTGGTCACGTAATATAGAAGAAAATAAAACGTACTAGGAAAGAATAATTTATATTGGCTTATGTTGAAAAAATCGAAAACTTTCTCCAAGTTAAAATGTTCATTCTAAAGTAGCTTAGAAAGCGAATCATTATAAAAGTGTAAACTATATACGACTAAAAATTCGAAATACACAATTTCGCATCATAATATTATACCTAACGAATAACAATAATAATATGCTGAACGGCGTGTAATTGGATACTTGCCATTGATTAAACGGTAAACGTGATTAAAGAAGTCAATATGTGTACGTTTACATATTTGTCAATAGGAATATTAAAATTTAAGCGTTTCATAGAATAATATTTAGATTATCTATAGTCATAATAAAAAACATAAAACTTACTGGAATACGGAAAATATTCGGTAATTTCAATAATAGGTTCCATTATTAATGCCATGATTTCCATTTCCATGTCCATTTTTATAAATTTCACATATAAAAATAAAATATACTTTCATCGCACTAAACTACGGAAGAGACATTTACAGATTGAACGATTTAGAAGCACTTAACGCGTTCTACACTATTCAAATATATTCGGACCTAATTCCAACGCTATTTCATCCCCACCTACGCGATCGGTATATCCGTATATTTGTATATAGGTAGTGCTACACATTTTTATTATACCTACCGACAATTCAGGTTCACTCTACCACCTCGACGCGTCCAATTGTACCTCAAAATTTCTACTGAATAAAATGTATACAAATCACAACAAAATAGTTAACATGAAACAGTTTTAGTGTTAAACACACGTACCACCACACACTGATGAATCATATTTCAATAACATCTAATGTTTTATTCAAGGAGAATGAGGTATATGAATATCATTGTTGATTTTATAACGTTATGATTATATATGATTTGTATTATATTATAAACATGTTTGTATAATGTGCATATACAATTATAATATGTATGTATAAATATAGTGATTATTAATTTCTAAGAATATTAAATAAAATAAAATGATGATAATTGTATACGTTGAGAAACCCTGTATAATCTGCATGCTTTGCATCCCTGACTACATAACATATTGT